AACCCTCATCAGGGCAGCTAGTTGAATATTTTGTGAAATATGGATCCATGAAAGCAGAAAGCGTAAAATTTTTCAAAACGTATTTTCCATCACCACATTTTACAAATTTACACCGTAACCATAGTTATTTTTACAAATTTACTCCGTAACCATAGTTATTTTTACAAATTTACTCCGTAACCATAGTTATTTTTACAAATTTACTCGTAACCATAGTTATTTTTACAAATTTACTCCGTAACCATAGTTATTTTTACAAATTTACTCCGTAACCATAGTTATTTTTACAAATTTACTCCGTAACCATAGTTATTTTACAAATTTACTCCGTAACCATAGTTATTTTACAAATTTACTCCGTAAGCATAGTTATTTTACAAATTTACTCTGTAACCATAGTTATTTTACAAATTTACTCCGTAACCATAGTTATTTTTTCAAAATTATAACTGTAACCATAGATTTTTTTCCAAATTTACACCATAACCATATTTAATTTTACAAATTTACTCCGTAACCATATTTAATTTTACAAATTTAACTCCGTAACCATATTTAATTTTACAAATTTACTCGTAACCATAGTTAATTTTACAAATTTACATCGTAACCATAGTTATTTTTTTAAAAATTATAACCGTAACCATAGTTATTTTTTTAAAAATTATAACCGTAACCATAGATTTTTTTCCAAATTTACGCCATAACCATAGTTATTTTTACAAATTTACGCCATAACAATAGTTATTTTTACAAATTTACACCGTAACCATAGTTATTTTTACAAATTTACACCGTAACCATAGTTAATTTGACAAATTTACACCGTAACCATAGTTAATTTTACAAATTTACACCAAAAAACAAAAAAAAATGGCATGCAGGAATAATGATATGATCAAGAGAAGCAAAGATATTCATATGCATATCAAAGTATGATTCAAAACATAAACACGGCCAGTCCATTTTATTATTAGATGGTGTAAATCATAATGAACACAGAACAAGGGTCCGTTAAACCCCAAAAAAATCTTACGATCAATTTCTTTGTAAATATTGTATTTCTCGATGTAAATTTTCACACTTACGACAAATTCTTATCATAAGATTTTTTTATGAAACTGGGCCTTGCTTGAACAGTTTACTACTTATTCTACCTAAAGATGAAATGGACTGGTCTTATTTATATGTGGATCGTTCCTGGATGTGCATGATCAGCTTTGTCTCACTATACCAAGCATGAGAGTAAATCAAAACCCAACATTCACTCGAAAACAAAAATCAAATTTACCAGAATTTTTTCGTTTTGGCAGGGGAGGGGGTGCTTTATCGTAGCCAGACATGTCAGGCGTGGGCGTGTAAAATTTTGAAGTGCGTAGTTCTTGATGTGCTTTGTGGTCAATCTGCTCGCTGGACAAAGATTGTGAAAGCCCTTTAGATAAAATAAATTATATTAAACAATTATATTTACAAAATAAAATCTAATGTATCTACACCATATTTTAAAATTCAAAAATTCTACTGATAAAATTATGATAAATAAAATACAAGAATATGAAAAATATTTTGTACAAAAAATGATTTAAATAATTTAAAAAATGAAATATATTTATAATAAATGAATTTTTGTCTAAAAACACAATGTTTATAATAATAGAAATATGATAAGAGTATAAAATACCTTTATGTGTATTAGTCTGGGGTGACGTACGGGTGTCAATTGATGGTTCACTAACTGTTCGCGGATGTGTTCGAGCCACACTCTGAAAAATAAAACCAATACTTACAGATCTTACAGATGTTTATTTGATATAAAGGTTTGTGAACATGACATCCCTTTCAGAGAGTGCACATAGTTTATGTTTATATTTATTCAAAAAATCTGACTCAGACTTAGACTTCTACTCTACAAGAAACCATTCACCAAGTCTAGAAAGATTGTCGTCTGCTTACCGTGGGGACATCTGCTGGTTCACAGTAGACATTTTCTTCTTCTTGTGACATGATATCACCAGATATTACTGACGAACGATTGCTGAAATTAACACAAATACAAAATGACCTGTGGGTCAGTTCCTACTTTTTGGGCTAATGAAGAAAAACAGTAGAAAATTTAACAAGGAAAATGTTTTTTTCTATTTTGCTTTCCAATTATATCGCTTGGCAACTAGTTTTACACTCTGTTGTTCAACATGTGATATAGGTTGGTTAGAACATGAACGAACTATCCAAATGAAATGAAAATTTTCGTCAGACTGTTTGGCACCTGAATGAGCCTATGGATATAATCCAAGTTATTTCATTATATGAAATTTGGCATCCTAAATCTCAGATCAAGTTTTTCAATTGTAAATTTGTAAGAGAAGTAAAATACCTTATGTAATCAAGTTAAAATATTCCACTGTTCTTCACTTGATCGAGACAAAAGTTAAGTAACATTCAATTTGTATCAGGAGTAAAATAAATGTCCTACCTGCTACTGGAATGTAAAGATATTGTGCTGGGAGTACTAGGTCTTGGAGAGCCATTTAATGGATGAATACTGTGTAACAGTCTACTAGGTCTCGGCGAACCCTAGAATTATAATAATAATAATAATAATAATACCGCCATGTAACAGTCTACTAGGTCTAGAATAAAAATATGACGGTTGGTCAAAAAGTCTAGGCCCACGTGATGAAACAAATAGGTGAGAAATCTGCATCACTGACAGGGGAAGAACTGGTTGCAAAATTGATAGGGAAGAGACTCCAGTTATGTCGACCAAAACCTAAATGGCTGAAGAATCAAATTGTTCAAGGTATTGTCTATGTCTGTGGGATTGAATGATGGACCTTCAAGTTACTTACTTACTGAGCTCATAAGAAAAGAAAATAGAATAATCAACTCACAGAATCTGTGATTCCTCGTCTCATGTTTTCAAACATTTCTAAAAGACTTTTATGTAGAGGTTGAATGGCTGGAGATGCAAGTCTACCATGGAGCTGTAACGCTTCATCTAATAAATTCACCTGGAAAATATTTTCACAAATTTTTAAGAAATGATTATTAGATTAAATAGCTTTCTTTTGTCCAAATTCAACTTCAAAATTTTCAAAAATTGAATACAGTATGCCCACAGCCCGGTCGCCAGGAATGAATTGGTGCTAGGGCTCAGATTTTGTACACAGAACATTTGAAGAATTAAAGGCCCAGAGAACTCATTTCTGTCAATTTTGAAAATGTATGTTTTTGATTTCGTACAAAGCCACTGTAAATTAATCAACCTCTGCTGAGCTGAAGAAGGCTTTGCTGGAGCTTAATTCTCACTTGCTGGGGCACAGCCCCTACGGTCCCCACCCTAACATCGGGGCTATATGCCCCTAAACACTCACTCACACATGTATCAGATTTTTGAGAGGCAAAGAAGAGGTATACATCGTATATGCAAGGGCATTATTATTGGCAAATATATGACATAGCACATATTAATTACGTTGAGACTTAACTGTTAAATTTTCTAATTCATCAAGGGCAATAACAAGGATTGATATATATATTACCTGTTGTATTAACTGTCCTCGTAACTCTTCTAAATGACGTAACTGATCAGGATGCTCGTTAGCAAACTCGTTAGTAAAAAACGCCTGGAATATTCATTAAGAATCAACAATTAATATTTGTTTTGAAAGATTTTTTTGCATTTCTCTGTTTGTTTCACAGACTTCTACTAAAAAAATTCACATCGAAAGATATCAAAACAAAATAGCTTGTACCTCACTTATTCATTTCAGAATTTTTTTTTTTTCAAAAAATCAAGCTGTGACCTACCTCCTGATATTTGGGGATGCCTCCACTGACTGTAGCACTTATTACTCCTTTCAATCTCATGGTTAAATTCTGGAGGTAATTATCTGGGTGGGTCTTACAACGGTCTATCAGGAACCGTAACTCTTTATTAACCTGTGTTATACTCTCTGTAGCTGTTTCTATTGGACTAATATGGACTACGCTAGCGTCTATCACTTCGTACCATCTTAATATACCTGGTAATTTATAACTGGTTTTTAACATCGTTCTTTCTAAGCATAATGTCTGTAAAAAATATATTGAAGAAGTGTTACAGGCATTGCACTTTGTAACTAAGGCAGTTTTTAAAAATTGACCGTTTGGATATGGAAAAAACATGAGAGATCTTTGGCTAGCAACTCAATTATTAATTGATCTTTCAAATAGCTAGTGTCTGCAACTAGACTTTTAACAAGCAACTCTTAATGAACCTTGATTCTAAATCATTGTGTTTCAGCTACTCTCTGTTAGAAAATCTTTAATTTCTGACACATTGTTTCAAATTTATTCCTACCTTAAATTCATTATTTTTATCTTTCTCTCCTTTATGGTAAGGTCGGTCGAACTGGAATGTATCAACTTCGTTTACGTTATAAAAATTACTGATTTCACTTGGTACATTTGCACCTTTAAACTCTGGTCTCGGATCAGCTATCGGTTTCACAATACAAATCTGAATATCTATAGATAATTAAGGATTGCAACAATGGCTCGTATAAAACTTAAAATTTAGGCTTGCTAACTTAGCTAATAATGACTATTTGACATAAAGGTTCATCAACTCAGCATCCCTTTCAGAGATTCAGAGAGTCCACATAGCTTATAATGTCAGTTTAAAGATAGTGGACCACAGCCATATACGCCCTTCACGGCATGCGGATGGTAAAAATGAAACATCCATTTTAAGTTTCATCAAAGTCGGTTGAAAACTAAGAGAGTAATAGCATATTCAAGATTTTGGGGCAAGGGCAATAACTCTGCTTCTAACGGTCGAAAAAAGCTCAAATACGAAGTTGATCTTTGTTTTATGAATATGTATACACATACTAAATTTCATTTGATTCCATCAAAAAATCTAGTTTTTAGAGCGTTTACAAGCAAATGTTGACGGACGGACAGGGTTGCCAACAATATACATCCACATAGAGAGATGTGGACGTATAAAAAGGATACATTGAGCATCTCCCTCTTTAATACTATCTTCGGGTGGACTGTTAGAACTTAATATCGTGGCGTTGGGGAATTCAGTCATTAACTGTTGCATGATGGTAGCTAATTTCAAACATTCGTCACCTCGATATACAAAAGCCTTGTTCTGAAATATTAAAATAAACTATGACTGATTTTCAAAAAACTCTACCGGTATATATTTTCATATTACTGACATATGTTTTGGATATACAATTCTCATCAGGAAGATTGGTTTTGAGATATTCAGACAGATTTTCCATTAACTAGAGCTCATCTCATGCTTATGAAACATGTTTCAGATATTCAATCCTCATCAGGAGGGTCAGCTTGGAAATTAGAGTCTGACAATTACATGTTTCAGATACACAATCCCCATCAGGAAGGTTAGTTTGAGACAGACAATTATTGTATACATGTATAAATAAAAAATCCACACAAATTAACATTCATACTCACCCTAACAAAAGGGGGAAAACTCTTGCCATAATAAGCCACTCTGTAATAACTTGGATCGCGTATCTTAGCTATACCTTCTAGAATATTCGTAAAGAACTGGGCTTGTTTTTGCTGAAAAAAAAATGGGGTAAACATCAAAGAGAATTATAGTAGTGTCAAAAATAGATCGGACGCATGAGTAAAGGCAATTTACAATATCATGTATATAATATATAATATATATAAGGTATTATAGACAACGTCAACACAATCTAAATTAATCATTCCAAGATAAAACAAAAGTAAAATAATTACGCATGAGGAAAGGCAATCAACACAATCTAAATTAATCATTCCAAGATAAAACAAAAGTAAAATAATTACCAAGATATCACTGAGTTTTTTATAATTAAATAGTCTTGTTTCATATAAAACAGCTAATTCTTTACATAACGGTATTCCATATTCCCATGCCTACAATAAATACATAACAAATTAATATATTCTTTAGAAATTATATAGAATTTATCTACAAGAAGAGGACGAGAGAAACTTGTTGAAACGTTGCATAAATTATTGTTTCACAAGAATGTGTTGATGAGTTGATTAGACAAATACTCCTGAAAACTCTGAGTGTTTTGGAAAGAATAATAAAGCTCACCTGTCCCTTATCAAAACAGTCGATAATTTCTAGATACAGTGTTTCTTTTCGTTCCCATTCTTCTTGACTAGGATACTTGGAATCGGCAGGGAAAACGTCATATTTCCAGTCTAGTATCTGTTGAGCGTATAACTGTAATGTTAGCCCCGCCTCTACGTAATTCTTGGCTCCGACGTGAAGTTCGTAAAGTTTGGTGATATATCTGATATACATCTCTTCTCTGTTGATATTCTTTTTATAAAAATTCTAAAATTAACAAAAAAATAAAAATTAACGTAAAGGGGCATTATAAATGTTAGATTTAACTTCTGATTCTGATTGGGCAATACCTTGTAGTATGAAATGAGGAAAACTTTACAAGGACAGGAGCATTAACCTACTGTTTGAAGACTTTAAACTGTCAAGGGATCTAAAATGTGCACAGTCTGTAGCAAATGAGACCTCAGTATATTCTCGCATCCCCAAAATTTTTTTCTAAAAAACCAAAAGAATAAAAACATCAATACATTTTTAACAAATAATCCGACTAAGAAAAGATGTCTGACTGAGTTATCTTTAACACAACAGACGTAATGTGAATGTTATCTGCCAAATTTCATGTTTTTGATACACGTTTTCTGAATGTAACCTCAATTAAATTGTTAACCTGAATTACACCTGCTCGAATTATCTGGCAGTCTGGCTACATTATCACTTCTGCATTCTTTCTTATGTAAACTAAACTCAAGATGATTTTAGAATTTGTTAAATCTAAAGTTCCAATGGTTTTTGATACTATCTTACTTTCCATCTGCTGGATTTAATATACTGTCTGTCTACCTTATCTCTTCTGCATTCTTTCTAACATATACTAAAACTTATTTTATTGTGTCTTGTGTCTCATCTCAAATCTGGATGATCTGTCTGCATTTTTCTTACTTTAAGAGGGAGTGAATTTTGTCTGAGTCCTGTCTCCAAATGTTCAACAAAATATTTCAATCTAATAATATTGTGAAGTCTTTCCACAAAAATTTCTCTCTGATGAGATGAAATAAAATAAACTTACAAGTATATTGAATGTACAGTGCATTCTCTTATCTCTGTTCTCTTCTCCATCTATAACTTGTCTAAAAATAGAACAGAATTGGGTCAGTCGTTAAAATGCATGTGCATCGACATAAAGAACATGCTTTACAATATCTTGCTAATAAGCTCTATTTTCATCAGTATTTCAATATATGAAATATTAGAAGTACCTGTATCCCTTGTGACTTTCCAGCATGTGTAACTATAGGAAAAGAATGTAACAAAAAACATGTCATTGATTAAAATGCACGTGCATCAGCCATATTTTCATTTTTTAGGTACACTTATTTAAAATTTTCCTTTCAACATAGCATGTAAAACACACTTTAACTTGTTACCATAAAGTCATACAGTTGTCTAATTTTTCTTGTAACTGAAAGCCAACATAAAGTCTTATCATCCAGTGAAACAAATAATTCAATGACTACATCCCTTTAACCTTATTTTTCTCTATCAACCACGATGTATTTTTAGAAATAATATCCAGTAATATAATTTATAATATCCTTGAAGAATGATCATGTTTTTTCCTTGGTAATTTGTTATTTTAGCTATAATATTACTACAGTGTTTATGTAATATTAGAACAGGAATATGTTCTATCAATTTCTTATAATCCATTCTTACTGAGGTGCCAAAATTCTTAACATTTGATACACATATGAGCTCCATACAACCTGATCAAAATGCAGATTTGTCTATCTGATTTAAATATATTTCATGTTTTTCTGCAGGTAACTCCACTAGTCGCGTATAATCTGATAAAATTCTGATCAAAATGCAGATTTAAATGTTTTGTTTATGTCTTTCTGTTCGTGAATCCACATGCCATCTATGATCTAACGAAATTGTAATTCAAAATTGGTTCTTGATCATAAAATAAATATTAAACCTAAGAAATGCTCTGAATAACATATTATCTTATAAAAAAAATAGATGATCAGGCGTTTCAAAACCCTTCACCAAAAACTATTTTATCCTAATCTATTAAAAACAAAAATTACCAAAAACTTCGCAAAATTATGAATTATAACTTAATGTTTAAACTTTAAAAAAAATAAACAAAATTCTAGAAAGTTGAAAAGATTATAATTATTATCAGATGGTACTAACTATAAATATTCTGAGAAAAAATTGGGGAAGTCTATGACAGCTGCGGGCATCAGTTTTGTAACTAGGGTATAATATACAGGAGACTTCCTGTTGGATGAAAGAACATGTAATACTTTCTCATTTCATCCCACATATCACCTGCCCATCTGGTGCACATTTTATTTTTAAATTCGATGAATTTATAACCTTATCATTAACATTCTTTATCCTTGAAATTCTAAAATAATTCGGTTCACCATTTTAGTTTCATTTTGTATATTATTCCATTTTTGTCATTGCTGAAACAGATCTTTATAGTTATATTCTTAGAATCTATAACCTAAACATGCAGATATCTTTTAAATTCTGTGGAATTTAGGTAAAATTTAGGTTTAGAAGAATTAGATCTTGTGCATTGTTAAAATAAACCATTTTAATTCAATATTCTTAAAATTTATAACCAAAATATGCAGTTATCATTAAAACTGTCGTATTTTGGCAGAATTTCTTCAAATTTTATTTCATAGAAAGCCAGATGGTTCTATTCCCAATGCTTTGCTGAATTTTATACCTAAACATACCTGATTTAAAATTTCTGCCGTATTTTGGTTCAGGAAAGGTCAGATTCTTAAAATTTATAACCAAGACATACAGTTATCATTAAAAATCTCCCCTATTTTGGTGTAAATTTTATTTCACAGATGGCCAGATGCTTCTATTCCTGTTGCATTGTTGAATTTTGTTTAATATTCTCAGAATTTATAACCCAAACATGCATAGTGTAAAATTCTGTCGTATTTTGGTTCAGGAAAGGTCAGATATATTTCATCTCATGCATTGTTGAATTAATTCAAAGATTGTAGAGATGAAAAGAATGTAAACATGGAGTATTAAATTTATAAACAAAATATCTGGGATGCGTTAGGCTTGGTGTAAATTTATCATGATCTTGCCATTGGCTTTTAAACATCCTGTCAAAGCTTCCTTGAGCGCCATATTAAAACAAAATACCAAAATTTCAAATTTCTTGCAGCTTGAAACTTTAGAAAAAAAATTGCAAATTTTCAGGTAATTTTTATTCTTTATAAATATGTAACTATATATTATTAGCTATGTAGACTCTCTGAAAGGGATGCTGCGTTGATAAACTCTGAAGGAAAACGTCATCTGGTGTTCTAGAAGAGTCAACAGACCCTTTAATTAAACAATTCAGATGCCACACAGTCAGTACCCTGCCATCATTTATGATCTTTAAAATATTATTACCACACTTATTTATTCTGTCAATAAAATGACTCCATGCTTTAAATTTTAGAGTAATATTTCAATTTTTTTATGTTTATCCACTCGATGAACCACAAAAGAACCGACTGAGACTGCGACTGATTCCAATTAATTTAATTGAAGGTTTACTCTTTATATTCACTTATTAAGTATGGCCTACCACCTAAACGCATGATCTATATGAAATAATATTATTAAGGCGAGACAAGTGCATCATTAGATTTTATTTCGTCCAATAAATGCCACTATGACAATAGCTCCAGTCTGTTCTTTCTGCGACTGATTCTAATCAGTTTAAGTGAAGGTAGTAAAATGATTTATTTTGATTGGTTCAGGTGAGCTGTCAATCAATGTATAATATCAATAGCTGTATATCTTATAATTGGTATGATAATGGTTTGATATCAGTAATAACTCCCTTATGATTGTTTATATATCTATCTTAATATCACTTGAAAGAGTTCAACCTGATCACATCTGACAGAGATTAACACCACTTGGCATTCTCTCAAAATAGTTGAACATTTTCATCTTCTGTCAATAATCCTTGGACAGTTATCTTTATTGGACAATATATAGATGAAATAAAATATTTTCATATCTCATATAATAAGATGCATTTTAATTTTCAAAAACACAATTTTACAATTAAAACTAAATTATTTTTCAAAGAATGATTATATTCAAATGAGCACCAAATGTGAGACCTACATGGAAAAATCAATAAATTCTAACAACAATCCCAGAAATCAATTTCTCATCCAGAGGAAACAAGAGGAAATGAAGCGTGTATTTTCAGGGGGGTGATACCAGATGGGAGAGATTATATCAGGGAGAGACAGGGATGGACCTAGAGAGATTAAAGAAAAATAATATTTAAGTAGAAACAGTTGGTTTACATTAAATACTTTAAGAGGATGATCTCTTCCACATTTTTAACAATTTCTTTCAGATAACTTTTTCTCGAATTTTCAATTTTTGTAACAGAAAAGTAGTCCTTCTACTATAATTTCATTAAATAACTTTTCAATCAAGTAAGAGTTTTACCATAACAATTTAAATAGCCTCTTGTTCTTTGAAATTTTGTATTTCTAGAAAAGGTTTTTAAGGTGCAAAGAAAGAAATCTTGTTCACTTCGTGTCCAAACCAATATCACCTGTATTTACTTCTTCTATTTTTACACACCACACCATACCTCATCTTTTTGCACTTAATACTTTTCTATTATCTTAGAGTGGTCAATCGATTTTGTACAAAGACTGAAAGGTGGGGGGTCTTTATTAGTAATATGAGGTTAAGCAATCTATATGAGGGGTAGGGGGCAATTACCTTTTTATTATCTGTAAAATGTTCAATTGGTTTTGTAAAAACTGTTGAGTAAGGGGTCTTTATTAGAAATTTGAGGTTAATTAAGCCAAATTATTATAAAACTGAAGGGTAGGGGGTCTTACAACAAATATTTTTGTATAATTTGAAGTTAAGTGATTTATTAAGGTAAGTAATAGATCTATTATAATTCCTGGAGGTTAGGCTATTACCACCCAGCAGGTCTACAGACCAAATAGTTGAAAATCAGCCAAATTTCACGACTCTGTGTTTATATTACACACAGTAAATTTCCGAATTTCACAGTTTTAACTATCTTATCTTATTTTAATATCACCTGTAATTAAGTAACTTATACCTCTTTATTTTGATGCAAAACACTTGTGGATATTTTAAATCATATCTACAGTTTTACACCTTTAATGATAGATGTTAACTAGCAGAGACTCCCCCACTCTGCAGCCCCCATCAATGGTATAGATATCATAAAACAAGTCTTACCTGTAGTCAAGTAGTCTATCCAATAAATCTGTCACCGAAAACACAAACTTCTTTCCTTCTTCCTGAATGGATGGTTCCGTCTGTACTTTCTCTAGGAGTCTGGAAAATAATTTCATCATCATGTTCATTTAGTTTCAAAATATTGCACGTCAAACAACAATATTCACTGGTCAGAATTTACATCCACCAACCACAACAGCTAAAACACAGCTGTGCCAGAGCAGCTCTACATCGAATTGTCAAACACAGAGTGGTCCTGTCATATGAAAACTGAATTGGCTGAAGCCTCTGTACAAATCGTGTATCACTGTCAGAGCAACTCTACGATCTTTCGCTATATTCCAATATCATCTATCATCTCCGTACATTTAAGTTAAAATAATTCTGAATAATTCAACACTGTTCAATCACACAATCAGTCTACAATTCACAGAAAAGAACACACATCTTCAAAAATGGTCACAGAAATCTTTTAAACATGTCCACAAGTTGAACAACCTTACTACAAGCTAAAATTGTAAATGACAATAGGAAAACATTGTATTACATACAGTTGACCTTTAAGATTGACCTTTATAATGCCCTGAGTATATTGCAGTAGGCACTGTTATTGCCCTAAGTATATTGCCTTTATCCCTGTTGGTTATTGCCCTGTGTATATTGCATTTATCCATGTTGGTTATTGCCCTGTGTATATTGCATTTATCCCTGTTGGTTATTGCCCTGTGTATATTGCAGATATGCCTGTAGGTAAATGCCCTGAATATGCTCCCTTTACTTTTAATTAATGGATTTGAGAAAAGTCCTCACTTAACCCCTAAATTAACACTTTCCATAGCAGGAAAATTATTAAAAAATTTATTTTGAAAGTCAGAAGCAAGCAATGATGCTTCCAAATATTAACGAAGATTTCTGGAGTTATATTAACACATCATGGTTAAAATCTGACACTTGTTTCTCTAGCTTGATTATTATACCATATATCGTTATTTTAAACACTTTCTCAAGATGGCTTCCTACAATTTCTACAATTCCATGTTCAGTTTGCTAAATGTTATATTACGTTATATTTCGAACCTTTTTCTTGTCAAAGAAAAGTTAGAAATACATAAGTAAAGATTATTGAACTAACCAACTGAATGTAAAGCTGTCTTGAAAACAGGCCCATAGCTATATATATTTTGGCCCCACCCTAAAAAATCTAAATGATGTTAAGTCGCTATAGCTGAGCCCACCTACAAAAAAATTGGCCCCACCTGAGACCCTGGCCTAGCTACGGGCCTGCTTGAAAATCAATTGTTTCATTTTACATTGCAGCAAAGCAAGGATTTTTAAATCTTTCAGCTTTAAAGTGTCAACATGCAGTGCAGTGACATTAGCCTACTATTTTTCAATTTTCATCTGCCGCTGTAAGCAAACCTGGCAAATCATGCTTATCAACATGGAAATAGTTTACAGAATGAAAAAAGTAAGGAACTACAACTTAAACCAAACAGAATGAATTGATACATTGTACATCTGGTTAACTTGTTGCAGAAATTCTTCAAATTCATCTCAATAAGTCACCAGACATCTTTCATCAATATTTATAAAATTATTACCACTTTTTCACGTTTTTCTGTATTTTTTGACATTTTTCTAGTAATCTGGTAATTTCAGAGGTTTTTCTGTAATTTTAGAAGAAAGACAGCCATTGTCAGCCAGTTTTCCTCACTGTTACAAATTTTCAAGATGTAAGAAATATCTGTATTGTTACACATTGTAAAGATATTTTTATAAATTAAACTTGTTGAAAGGCTGGGTTTATGTTTATGTAAGAATTTGTGTAAAATTTGATATTTTTGTAAATTTAAAACATGTTTATTTGGAAAGAAAATTACAAACCATACCAAAAACTCAAAATATTTTATTCTTTAACAATTCCATACAAACTGTAGCATATTTAAAGAGGTGAGAGGAGAGGCACCTATAATTTTTGGGCCCTCCCTAGACATTTTTCTTGATTTCTTGCATACAAGGCTAAGATTTTTGCAACCAGTAAGAGAACTCATGGAACAGGAGAAGAGCAAGAAACAAAACTAGAACAAAATAACGTGGAGATATCAACCATTTCAGATATTCAACAATTATCATAAACTATTAAATACATCATTTTCCATTTTCCAAAAAAATTCAAGATCTTCTACGGCATTATACAAATCATTGATCACATGAATTTTTCTTTCCTAAATTGCCTTTTAGCCATTTCTTAAGAAGACGAATTCTGAATCAATATTTCAGAAGAAAACTAAATTTAAGAGTATTCAGACATCTTGAACTTGGGGTATTTAGTAGAAAATAATTACAAATAAAGCAGAAAAATCAAGAAAATACTGAACAAAAATGAAAAGATCAATCAAGGATTCGCAAAGATTTTCAGCAAATTTTAAGGAGGGCAATTATCATATGAATGCAGACTAATTAGAGGGAATTTCGTAACAATCTCCACCGTGATTTATGAATCACACAATTTACCCCTAGGGAGGTCACATCAACAGTGTTTTTTTTCAAAATATTGACATTTTATGTGAAAAAAATGGTCATAACTTTGAAGTGAATTGATTAACATTAAAATATTTTACAGAATTTGTAAATTCGTTTGATTTGTTCAAAGGAAATTTTTACTTTTTAGTAATGAGTGTGTCTAACTAATTACTAATTAGGGACTTCATTTTGATGTTATTTCTCAGTATTTCAACATAAATTGAATCAAATTATTTCGTATTTCTTCTGTTATCTTCATTAGTTTAAGAATTCACACGTCTTAGTTTCCAACTATTTCTAACCCCTAGTTTCCAACTATTTCTAACCCCTAGTTTCCAACTATTTCTAACCCCTAGTTTCCAACTATTTCTAACCCCTAGTTTCCAACTATTTCTAACCCCTAGACGATTAAAACAGTCACACCCACCTGCACAATGTCAAGGTATTACTAACTCTATCTAGTCTAATACCTTGACTGCAAAAGCTACTACTCTTGTATCAAGGAAGTTTGTAAATGCAGCGATTTAATTGGATTGTATACCAGTGAATAGAGCCAATCAGAGGCATCAACAGAAAATATTTGAACTGAAGTCGTAATGTTTACAGGCTTTCTGTCGAGGGCTCTGATTGGCTGTATTCGCTAGCATACAATGCAATCAGTCATTACATTCTATAAAACAAAGTTCATAATAGCTTGACATCGTAAAGATATACGAATAGTGGCTATTACAGTCAAGGTAAATAAGGAAGTTCGTACTGGCTTGACATTGTGAAGATCATCCACAATTCATCAGAAATTCAAAGTGAGCAGACATTATAAACTATTAAACTATAAACTATAAACTAAAACCAGACAAATTATAGTTTAAACTCTCCTGTTTTAAAGGTTAATAATAATCATTGTGATAAATCTACCTTTCATACTCAGATACACCTAGACAAATTATCCACTTTCAAAATGGCAGATCTATTGTTGAAAAAATCAGCCACTTTTTAAACCACCCTATCCTCTTTTTTATGATAATTACTGATTTTGGTCGTATTAATGTCATCAACACCAGTGCCTTCAAGGCCACTCTAAACTCCTCCTAAACTCTACAGATTCGAAGCCAGTCCATTTTTTACATCCCCGCCCCCTGATATTTAATGATCCTGATAATCTTGGATGTTGCCTATTGTTCCTTAACTTTTAAGGGCCATCTCTCTTCTCTCAAATCTTTCTCCTGATACTACAGATTTCAATTCTGATTCTGGTCATCTTGATTTGACCAGTTGACAACTCCGATCCCTGATACTAAAGGACCAGCCCCTGTGTCGATCACCCCCATCTCCCCTAATACTTACTGATTCTGGTCATCTTGACTGGACCAGTTCCCATACGCAGGTGAACCTGCTTTCTTCAGCCACCAAACCATTTTGTCTGGTGGACTTGTTTTAAATTAGATCACATCGAAATATCCAAGTTTGAAAGAGCACAAACAGTTTTTGGTCCTCTTCAAAATTATTTCTTTTTGGAGAAAATGCCTGTCACAATGTGGAGATATTTTGTGTTTGGTGGATGTGGTTTAAAGTTTTTCACAGTGAAATATCCAAGTTCAAAAATATAATTCTTTTTTGAAGTAGCAAAATTTTTGGTCCTTTCAAATATTTATGGAAAAAATCAGTTGCAGCAAATGAAATCTTCTAAGACAATATACACTACTTCCATTGAACTGACAGTAAATATCAACTTTCAGAGATACTCAACTATTGTGAAATATTGTCTTTATTCTAATAATTGAAGAATAAAGGCAAACATGTAAATCCTATTACGTAGTATAATCCAATTACATTAAAATCCGTATTCCAGAACATCTCCTAATGCTTCCAGTTGATAATAGCATTTAATAATTCTTTTAAAAAGAATTACACTAATTCTAAAACATAGATTTTTAAGTTATGATTTTATTTGGTTTCAAATGTTAAAAGCCTGGAAGCTCTTCAAAAAAAGTTAAAAGAAATCTAGTAATAATCCTTTAAAACAATTTAAAATACTGATCATCCAAAACGAAGTTTTAATCTCTTTTTTTATCTCAAAACATCACCGAAATTAGACCAGTTTATCTCAAAACATCACCAAAATTAGACCAGTTATCAAACACAAACTCCATCCTTGATACTGGAAATCTCCAACAATGAATTTTTAATTCCTATAAATAATCCTAAATGTTATACTAATCTGTATTTTTATCTTAAAATATCACCGAAATTAGACCAGTTTATCTCATCCTTCATCCATTCAGAGTTAAAATTTAAAGTTCAGTGTGATAAGAGTAGAGCTATAGGATGTTTATACTCGCTACTGGTTGATATCCCTCTAAGAGTTGATATATCACCACTACAGTAGCCAGCCATCTCTAGTCAGATATCTCTAGAACTTCTGTGGTTAATATCAAACGACTCTATCAGTAATAGCCAGAGTTATAACACACCATGTGACTACACCACTAGTAGCAATAGCACACTGCCTTCAAAGATTTCAAGGATTCATTCACAATGCATCTTCACAATGTCAAGATATTTCAAAGACCAAGTGACTATACTGCCTGTAGCAATGTTAAACACACACACTGCTTGCAGGGCATTTACTCCTACTTTTACTCTCATTAAAGATTATCAATTGGACATTTTAAAGCTCATATCAGACATGACTGGTAATGCAATCAAATTAACAGTCTAGAAGAGCTTTATCATTATCTAGCAAAAGAACTGACTACATGTTTACAACAGTGTTGGTGGATTGCCTTGTGATTTGGGAGTTTTTGACAAGAAATATCATAGGAATCTATGGGTACAAATGATTAAAAGTGGTCATCCCAGTAGATCTAAAAGTCAGGCCCCAGCACTAAACCAGTAGATTGATCAACTCTAAACTATTATAAATTATTTTAAATGGAGCATGCAGACCTCACTTCCTGTCTGTAAATAACTTGAACAGATATGAAATAAATTGTATATGATAAATATTATAATCACCCCATTTCTAGAAATAGATCTGTCATTTTAACAGAGTGGTATTTTAAAGGGTTAGAGGAGCAAGAATTACGTAAGTATGAGAGCTCATATGATACAGTAAATACTGTTTTAGGTATAAAATCCTCATCAGGACAAATGGTTTGAATGCACGTTTAAATTCCAATAAACTGGGGAAATGGCAACAAATCAAAATTAAGGCCTTAAATTCAACTTTTCAATTTTACCTTATGACCTTTTCACACAGCATGAACAAGACAAATCGGCAGACATGAAATTTAACATACTCCAAGAGCCAACCTAGAAATATAATTCTATTCCAGATCTTATTTTTCCTAATGAGCATTGTCAAAATGATGAATGACCTTTCCCCCCTGCAGTCAATTTCGATATCATTAGTTCTTAATATAATTAGAGAAGGTCTAAGAGGAGCACCCTGCTGTACACCAGTACCATAGTGCTATATAGTCAAAGGAATTAATGACTGAAACTCCATGGTCTTTTTCTTATCTTCTTTTCCAGACTTCAGTTCTCAAAGAAATAAATTTTCAAAGAAATCGGAGACATGCTCCCTTGGTTCTTTGTAGTTCTGAGTTTTTTTTTTCGCAATTTTAGTTGTATGTAACCACAGAATCAGGACTGGACAGTAGCCAATCCTGGGTTCTTTTCAGTTCTGACTTCTAAAAGAAACCGTTCAAATATTCAAATTTGTTATTAAATCTACTAACTCGAGTTTAATAAACTCCTTTCATGACTCATAATTTCATGAATTTCTCGTAAATGTCAATATTCAGTATTTATCATTTACTCTATATTATTTATTCAGTTTAATTAATGAGGGAATTAATTAACAATAATTAACACATATACACATTATTTGATGTGTATATACTATATAGAGAATCATGTGCCCACACTTCCATAAAAACTAATACCATAGGGCAAAAAATTCTTTTAACAAAAAGAGTTGAAGTTTGAAAATTTAAAACATTACTGAAACAACAAAAACACCACAATTAAAGTCAAGTTTAAATGTGCAGAATACAGAGGTGAAATTATAAAAACAGTCTTGATGAAAGATCATGTAAAGTACATTACAATACAATGTAGAGGTCTTCATTTATCTGATAAAGTACCGAAATTGATATGCAACACCCTTCCATTTTATTCCTCATTTGACTCATTAACAGTCATGGGAGACTGATAACTGCATGTTTGAATCTCAGCATTTTGATATCTGCAAGTATCAATTCACTGACCCTAAACCCTTAATTAGAATAATAACCCTTAAAATAATAACAACCTCAGCCCTTAATTAGTTTTTTGACCTTTTAATTAATTTCCAATCCTTGAAGAACTGTGACCCCAAAACTCCTGGTATCACTGACCCCTGACCTTCTCCTAATCAGAGAGTTCACTAACTACTTAGCTCACATCAATAAAACCAATTTTACCTCATTTCACACTGCATGGCATAACTAATAGCCTGTACAAAAATGGTTTTATTCTTATTCCACAGGACATGGCAAGAACTATCTTTATTAACTCACTCAAAAAAATAAAGACTTGTGACCTTGGCCAGTGCTTCTATAAGAGAGTATCTTCTATAACACCCATCACTAAAAAAACAAGATCTTTCAAACTCGGACTTCAAATAATATACATGAATACACTGACGGACATCGGCAATTCTTGTCTACGGAAATGATTTAAAGTTAAAATAGTTTAAAGAAGGTAATTACTCTCTGATGTCAAGTAGAGGTGTTATATCGCGCGTTCTGTGAGTGCCAGCAAGCATGGCATGTAATATGTTAATAACACCTTCATTAAGACTTCAAAGATAACTTCTGTTGTAGATAAAACAGTTGTTCTTGAAAAAAATGTTTTCATTTCTATGTTTTCTGCCGTCCTGGCTAATATTACAATACAAGTAAAATACGATAATTAGATCTTCATTAAAACTTCAAAGATAATGTCTAAAATGTTAAGACTAGTCTTACTTCAGTTTTAGAGTTTTTAAATTCTATGCTGTATCAATAGAAATTTCTCCTTTTCTTAAAAAAGTCGGTGTTCTTGAAAAACTTGTTTTGTTTCCCTTCATTCCATAATAAGAGTTTATATAATGTAACTAAGTCAAAATTTGTCTTAAAATCTATTTTATATGGCCATTTGGTCATGACTGGCAAATACAGTCATATCAGCACTCCTTGGTGTAAACTCAAATTTTAAATTTGACCTCCCCTTAGATTAAGAAAGGCTTTTACTGTCATAGTAGTTGTATACACAAATAGTTGTTTTTGTTTATCCAGTTCCACATCTCTATTTCCTGCTGTTGATAATTTTACCATTCTGACTCAACCTGGTTTCAGTCTCAGTCAGTTTAAATCTTAAAACCAGTGCCAAGCAAGCCTGGAATTCCACTCTGGTACTGTTTGTCTGAGAGAGGTCATGTTTACAGTAAAAATAAACAGTGAATTCAGTACCACCCTCTAAACATAATTAAATAATAAACCTTGGAATTTAACAAGTGGTCTCTGCTATATTTTGGATTTTTTTTGGTTACAAAAAAGTCAAAAAAGTCGAAGGAGAATCTATCATGTACCTATCTTAATCATAATTCAATAGGAATCATACATGAATAAATGGTCAAGCAAAGTGTCCCCAGAAGAAGTAAGGTCTCTGATATTTTTTTGTTTAAAATTCTAAAGATAATATAATGAATGACCAAGCAAAGTGTCCACAGAAAATAGTAAGCACTTTGCATTCAGGGAACTGCACAAAGTTTGAAAAGAGAAGGAAAATTCATTAGGAATCATGAATACATGAATAAATGGCAAAGCCAAGTGTCCATAACATATTAATTGCTTTGCATTCAGAGAACTACGCCAAGTTTGAAAAGAGAAGGAAATATATATACACCTAAATTAGCTATAGCAACTATTGACACCTACATCACTTTAACTTGTTAATATAGTTAAATAATTTACATAGAAATTCCACAATTTTAAAATAAAAACAGCCCAGGGGTATGAGATAGTTGATTTATTAGTTTAAACACCAACATAGAAAGAGATATCACTTTAATTCACTCCATGTTACATTTACCACAATATTATTCTAATTTCACTAATTAGATAATTAGGCCAATACTTAATTAACTCAATCTCTTGACTGTTTATAAATATTTATGTATTTTTTTGTTGAATATTTACCATAAAATGTTATATATCATACAATTTAGACTAAAATAACAAGGAGAAACCAACATTTATCTTTTTAAATCATAGATCATAAACTGAAAACCACACTTCAAAATGGTACATAATTTGATTAAAATGAAAACGTTTTGTGTTTCAAGTTTTTTTTGTGAGTGACTCCACAAGACATTCTGGGAGTATCTAGGAGAGACACTAGCTCGCTAACCTGAAGGTCCAGGGTTCAAACCCTGCAATGGTCGAGATAATACCTTCGGATTTTTCAACCCGGTTTCCCAGTGTCAGTGACACTGTAAGAGGTAAGAGGGGCTAACATGGAAAAAGCGTCTAGTTGTTCAGATTGGATCTGAAGAAATTAATATGAAAGAATAAAAATACTGGAAGGATATTAAAACAAACTTACATGGTTTTAAAGAGAAGTCTAAATTCATGGTCACCATAGTTTGATGTCATTAATTCATCCAATCTCTCTATCATCTCACACTCAACCTGTATGGAATGAATGAATGGATGAATGAATGCAAAAAAGAAATAAATAAATAAATAAATAAATAAATAAATAAAGGAATAAATAAATAAATATGCAGTTACTAACTTTATCATGATGTCATCGATTTTAACTCCACATAAGAAACTTTTCACCCTATGTTTTTTTTCATTTCTAGGGTAACTGTTTTCATAACTTGAATTTGATCAAAATAGCTAAATATTACCCACCTTATTAAAATTTCCCGATATTTTCTGTTCACAGATCATCATATCGAAAAACATGGGTAGTGTGGCTTTCCGTAATTCTCTCTCTGGTACTAGGGTGATCTCCAGGAACGATCCAATAATACTCGGAATAAATGCCTTCTGATGCTCTCCTGAAATTAATTATTCAAATTTATATATAGAAAAAAAAATATTACAAGCTTGCCCAGTATGGGCGTCAAGCCAAAAGTTAAGTAATAAATTCATTGAATGAGTCTGTACACTTCAAATTCCACTGTCACTGTCCATATCACCTATACATATACATTATCAATATCCACGTAAACAGGCACCTGTTAATTAATAATAGACCTACCTAAAGCATTCCATAAATTCTGTGTTTTAAATCCTAGTAACACTCTCATATCACCATACCTATAGCATAGATATAATAAAAATATTAAATATAGCTAGGGTAAGGGGAGGGCTGATTTGTCCCTATTTTACTACCCCTGGGGCCGTCTGACTATACGTTATATAACATCACATCTTCATTAGTTTAGTCATAATCTGATTAAAAGCAGTAAGATGTTTAATTATTATTCAGTAATTAAAGAGTAATTAATATGATGATGATGTCATTATTACACTGGACTTTACATCCCTTTCAGACGGCTGTAGTGGAACAGAATGTGGACTCTACAAATGGACGTACAAATAAGGTAATAATAAATGCTTAATAAAAAATTTGTACAAGCAAGACAATTCCTCATGAAAATCTTGTCCAAAGAATGCTAAAATCAAGAGTAAAAGTTGTATAGTAGAGGACTCCACAAAAGAGAAGTACCATCAGGAGTTTCGAAAAGGGTAGTGTTGAAACAGTTAATCAGTTAACCGATTTCGGGTAGTATTTGACGGGTAACCAGGTCTGATTTGAGATGATCAGTTAACCGTCAATTTTATAGCAAGTAAAAAGAGAGCAATTTTGACAGAAATTTCGTCACTGTATGAGTCTTTAAGTTGTTTTCTTTACTAAATAAACATCTTTATTGATTGAATAATTGAGATTAATAAATCAAGATAGGGTATCAATTATAAAAACACTAACGAGTTGCGAGAATTGTGGTCAAGATCATCAAGCCTCTTTTTTGATATAAAAATAGTCACGATAGTCATAGTTTGTCAACAGTCGCCGTGTGCACCGTAATGTTAATTGGGTTAAACAAATAAGCACTGGGTACGAGTTGCTTAGAATAAAACAGTTATAAAGATCGTATTACTTTTTATTAACTCTCCTCTAATTGGTTGTTTGTTTCTTCTCGCCTGTCAATCAGCTTCAAACTTACTAATATTCATTGATACAATAGTTTTATACCAGTTGTGGAACCAGTACACTGATTCGTGGTGACTTCAATGAGATACACTCATTACACTGACCCCACAACTGGTATAAAAACCTTTGATCTGTTAGAGACTGTAGCAATGATTGACAATGGCGCCAGTCCATATGAACTCTGTCAGGCCCGCTCGTAATCTTACATTGAAGCAGACGCTTCAATAGGTTGTTTGGTATCTGTCAATTTATAGCTACAATTCGCAGGGAACTAGCCAAAATCTTCCTGGGTACTCATTTACACTTACTCTAGTTTAGATAACGGTGAGTTACGGCCGCAAATGCGGTTTTTGACTCCTTTTATAATCTTTAGTAATTAACCGGGTAACAAACTGTTATTGCCAACGATTACCTGATTCGTAAAATTCACTAACCGTTTCAACACTAGAAAAGAGTAAGCATGGTCTGCTTCGCACCCACCATTCTCAAAACTGACGTCTTTTTGCATTTAATATATATCCATTTCTATGAACACAAGTGGCAAAAGTAAAAAATTAGATGCCATACTTTTCTTTGATGGCAAACAAATGACAGACAGACGAACATGGGTGTCAATAATATTTGTCCTGGTAGGCATGTGGGCACATAAAATACATAGTTAACAATATAATCTTACTTGTCTTTGACAGCATTTTTCTTGGCCTCAGTAAAAGTATGTAATTGTAAACTAGGTTGAGTTATAAACGCCACAGATAAATCAAAATAGTTATCCCATATCTAAAATAAAATAAAAAAAAATCAAATATTATTAGTTTCATGATCAATACTTTTGTATGAATATGCCTGATGATGACAATGTAAAATATAGAAAGGTTGTAGAATAAAACCCAGGAGTAGTAGTATACAGTGTGTTCAGTTATTTAATGTGATCTCTACCTGTACATTATAACAGCAATGCTACTGATGTTAAAAAATAAAAGAACTTACAGATTTATCGAAGGACTCTCTGGTAAGAAAATGATCTGTTAAAGACTGAGTTAAATACTGTATAGCTGTTAATATAGCACTGAAAAAATATAAAACACAACTAGTTATTATAGTCTCAAGGATATAAAATCCAGTGACCTTCAGACAGAACAAAGCCAGTTTTCAAGACTGGTAAAGGTCAAGATAGGAGTTGTCAACCAATTTATACCATTTCAGTGATGCAGAAACATTTAACTCCATTGCCCACTTCTTAATGCTGCCATCCTATTCAAATCTTACTCCACTGCACAATGCATGATGTAAACAGAAAGATTTTTCTACTTACTGATTGGTTGTCAATCTCATGGTTGACCAATCAGGTGGGAATACATCTCTTCTGATTAGATCGCGAAACACCAGAAATATACGGTTCAAAAAATCCTGAAAAAAATTCAATAATCATTTATATCTTATTAATATATATTACCATAAGAAGTGAATATTCTGCAAGTATATATTGTCAGTGAGTTGGATTGTGTATTTAAATTAATATTTAGTATCTACCTTGAGTGGTTGACCTTTATGATAAGCTGCTAGTAGAGCCTGATAATGGCTGTCTTCCATGATGTTTAACAATTCTATTAAACTAGAGATCAGTATGCCCTGTTAAATAAAAGCATATTCCATCAATAAGTTGCTGAGAAATGAGGAAGGACAATGAGAGAAATTATAGTGACAATAGAATACTCTTTTTTCAACCTCCAAATGTAGAGAGCGCAGTCTGTAGCTCCAATGGTCCTGTAATCTGGTAATATTATTCATAACTTGGCAAAAGCCAAACCAATCTGCAAAGACATAAATTCTTCAAAGTGCCTCTTAAAAATCTACGTACCCCTATCTCTATTCTACGATTAGCCTCCATTTTTAACAAAGATTCAATAATAACATCGAATAAGGCCAATACAACTTGATTGATATCATCATTGGTTTTACTCTTCTGGAAATATAAAACATGGCAGATGTTGAAAGATTTCAGGCAAAACTGTGTTATTTTGAAGGATCCCATTCTGCAAATGATTTGATTTTGTTCTGAAGACATCTGGGCATCTAAAAAGTATGCCTTCAAACTTCTGAAAAGCAAAAAATTTTCCTTTAAAATCTGTTGGCATCCATGCAACCATGCCTTCATACTTCTGAGAAGCTGATAAATTTTTCTGTCCTTTTCTTACCTTTTTTAAAAGGAATATTTTATCGAGTAAATCTCCCAGGGTTTCTGATGTGACCTTTAAACATCCTCGCTGTATCAGACATTTTTTAATATGAGCCAGACAGAGTGGCAAGAGTAGGCTTCGAGATTCTGAAAATGTACACAAGCAATTTATACTGATGAAGTAAAAGAAATCAAATGTACTTTAATGTCCAACTTTTCTGTATCTTTTTGGACTAATGAAATAAATTCCTACTTTTCTACTGGAGTTTAATGAAGCCATGCAGTGTCTAATCAGGCAAATTTTGACAGGGCAGTATCAAGCATACTCTTTATCTTGTTGGATCTTTAACGTGCAAAGGCTGTAGTGAAGGTCTTAGAAATTAATACACAAATTAATAGTACTACAAAAGTTGTTGAATGACATAACCAGAAATGATGTCATGATTCAGACACCCTAACAAACTGATCTACAGTCTGCCTTGCCAATACAATGTTGAAATATTAGAAAATGAGTTCAAACTTACCTGTATCCTCAAATAGTTCAGAATTGATGGTATTTTTAATAATCGCTGTCTTGGCCTTGACAACGTCTTTATTTGAGTCCCTAGCAACGCGATTTAAAACACTAACAACTAACTCTGATAATTCTTTTTTACTCATCACAGACAGGAGTGGTTCGTACGTTTTATGTAGTTCAGTTAGTAAGATCACCTGGAATGAAAGAATGAATAAATGATTAAAGGATGAATGAATGAATGATTAAAGGATGAATAAATGAATGATTAAAGGATGAATAAATGAATGATTATAGGATGAATAAATGAATGATTAAGGGATGAATAAATGAATGATTATAGGATGAATAAATGAATGATTAAAGGACAAATAAATGAATGATTAAAGGATGAATAAATGAATGATTAAAGGATGAATAAATGAATGATTAAAGGATGAATAAATGAATGATTAAAGGATGAATAAATGAATGATTAAAGGATGAATAAATGAATGATTATAGGATGAATAAATGAATGATTAAAGGATGAATAAATGAAAGATTAAAGGATGAATAAATGGATGATTAAAGGATGAATAAATGAATGATTAAAGGATGAATAAATGAATGATTAAAGGATGAATAAATGAATGATTAAAGGATGAAAAATGAAAAAACAAACTTAACTTTAGAATAAAATTAAACCATAAACATTACATACTTAAAGTAAATTTTGATAAATGAAAAAATCAAACCAACCTGAGCTTTTTTCAATTTGTCATCTTTAGATTCTAAAACTTTACCAAATATAGAATAAATATCTTTAAAGAGCATTGTGTTCACCATGTCAGCACCATACGCTCTGGAATGAAACAGATCAAGTAGTAAACCAAGCAGATATACACTGTTTCTGTGTCCTAGACTTACCTATATCTGAATGACTAAACGCCTTGTCCGTGTCAGTTCTGATGACAACCACCATTGAACAAGGAAACCTGGTTGAAAAATCTGAAGGTATTAGCTCAACTTATGCAAGGATTGAAACTGAGACTTTTGGATTAGCGAGCGTTTAAATCACTCAGCTTGATCTGTTTCTACATCAGTTCATTTTTTTTCAATTTGGAAGTGAGTCTAACCAAGGCATTTGTCTATTTTTTGCTAGACATGCCCTGGATGTCCAAACTGTCTGTAAAATAAGAATCCAAGTCATTGAGATATTTGGCTCACCTTTTGAATAAATTACAAGATTTCACAGTGAATTTAAATAATGGCTCCAGAACCTGAAATAAACCAAAAATACCTGCAGTGTGCAATAATGAAAAGAAAGATTTTGCCAGGAAAGCAGCATCAGTCACCTCTTTTTGGATTTCCAACTGTTGCAGGATCTTTAAAATGTACAGACCTAATAATTGTTTCATTCGAAAAACCAGAAGCTATTACCATGTCAGTACCTCCAACCTACATCACTGAGAGGGGAAACTGGGTTGAAAAATCTGTAGTTATCACACCCCAAACACCAAGGGATTATCTAGACAAATGTTAGGATAAAACTCTAGCCGTGTATTCTCGAAACGATCTTAGAGCTAGGATGTCCTAGAATCAATGTTAGAAGATAAGAACCTAGGACATCCTAGTGTTAAGATTGTTTCCAGAATATGTGGCCTGGATCCCCAAGGCTACCGAACAATCCCCAACACTCAATAAGAAAATATGAATATTTACCAGTAGTGTAATTTCAACAGGGACGTCTGTTCTATTGTCTGACAATTGAGCAGCAGAGTTCACCTTTTCTTGTAAACAAAACATTAGATCCCTAGAAAAAAATACATATAATATTAAAATATTTATAAATGTAGTCCATGGTCCGATTTAAAAAAAAAAATGGACCAATTGGGACCCAAACTTGATTGACTAACTTGCAGAATTTGTTTAAAAATATCATTGCAGGCAAAACTACTTTTATTGCTTACATAAAACAAAGATTGGAGCTTTTACTCAGGAACCTAACTTTGATTTATATTGGTCAATCAATCAAATCAAGTTTAAAGTTAAAATTTGTATCCAATCGGATGTCTGTTTTACTTCAAATCTGGATTTTATCTCTTTGTTTTCGAGACCATGGACAATATTTACTGCAAGGGGAAAGGAAGCAAAATGAATTAAAAATGCTCTACCTGAAAACAAGAGGGTGAGAGAAATTCTCCTCTAAATATGACTCAAGAATATGTTGAAATTTCTCAAATTGAGTCTGTTCCAGAATGTTAAATATATGAACCTAAAACAATAATAATCAATTTTTAGTGAATATTCTTAAAATAATATATGTTTGAGTTCTGTTTTGAATATAGACATTATACTGCATGTGTTTCCTTAGATGAAATTTTGTGCAGGCATCCAGTTGGAAACTTAATTATCCAGGGATTCTTGAGTTTGGAAGCTTTACCAGATTTCTGCTGACTCGGTGTAAGTAATTTAGTGATCTAACTTACCAGAGCGTGGAAGACATCAGAAGCAAACGGTACCCTATCACCATTCTTAGCACCAAACATGGTAAATAATGCATCCAATATATCTTGTAAATACTAAAAAACAGAAATTGAAAACAGTTCATCACCAATGCAAATAAACTGTGCAGGAAAACAGCATTAGGCTTTCTCGTGATTTTTAATGTGCACAGCCTGTGTTTTTTGCCCAATTCGAACGACTAGACTCGACTAGAAAAAATAAAAAATATCACCTTGACAATTTCTTGAGAACGTAATCTAATCAAGTTCCGTAGATTATCTGATATTTTATCTCTATTCATAGACCACTGTAATACACTTAATAACCCCGCTGAAAAATATCAGAGATCAAAGCTTAAAGAATGCCTCTTTTCAACTTCGTTTAATGACTCCCTGGATCTTCAAAATGCACAACCAGAGCACACAGGACCTCTGTTTATTGTCTCATCTGATTAAACACTTTCAGCATGTCCTTGTATCACTGACACAAAGGTATTATCTTGAACACTGTACCCTCAGCACACGTCTATCACAAAGTTTCTAGCATGACATGAGCTATAGACTGTTACAAAGTGAAAGTAGAAAATATATAGACTTACTATTCTGAGTAAATTTTGTTGAACACAATAAGGTAGAAACTAGACAATATTCTTTAGAGTTACGTTGAAAGGGCAGGGGGGTGGCAGCCGATTTCTGGATGTCGTTCAACTCATCCTGGTACATGGGTAGATTTTTATAGTCTTTTATCTTCTTTATATCATCACACTAGGAAATAGAAAACATGGCGTCAATTGGCGCTTGTGAGTTCAAATCTCCAGTACTTAAATATCAGGTTTGATGACATGATAAGAATATAAAAATAATAAAACATGGTGTTCATTGGCGTTCAAATCTTCAATAGTTCAATTTCAGGTCTGTTAACTAGACTAAAAATAAAAAAACAAAATGTGCTCGAGTTCAAACCATCAATGGTCGACTGTACAGTCTCTCAGCTGCTGATTTGCCAGTGCTGTCTGACAATGTCAAATAAAATACCTTATATATACAGAGTTCATGCTGTCCATCATAAACTGTACTGCTATCTTTTCCTGTTAAACAAAGGTAGGAGAAACCTTGTAATTTCTTCTCATTTTTATCTCGAGCTGAAATAGTATGGATATAGTTTGGATTTGGCAGGATATAGATCAGTTAACATAATTATGGTGTTGGGTAGTGAAGGGGGAAGATTATTACTATTTCACGCTATTCTATATATTAGCTGATAAAGCTCTACTATAGCTGTCTCCTTTTCAGAGAGAAATCTGGAGTAAGATCTGCTGCTTAATGAAGCGTTAAATGTCAAAAAAAAGACTTACTTGAGCAATGGTAGAAATCCAGTCTAATATGAGCTCCTGTAAACTTATCTATTGGAATAGATAACTGTAAATAAAGACATTAAAAATCTTAGTACATCTACCAAACCATAGTAAACATATTTCAGACTTCAAAATAAAGTTAAACTCTACCTAAATATGGAAATCTGAGAAAATATTTTGTTTAAACAAGATCATAAAATTTAGATATTACTCCTCCTTTTCAATGTACGATAGTTATATTCAAATCATTGAAATTTTTTTTTAAAAAACTGTGAGACTCACTCTGATTATATCGTTCCATTTTGGAGAGTTTTGATGGTAAAATACTGAGGTGTTATAAACAGTTTTATTGCTCTCTCCACAACCACAATTTATACAGTCCTATAAATAAATCATTATCAAAATCTATAAAAAATACAGTCCTATAAATATATCATTATCAAAATCTATAAAAATACATTATCAAAATCTATAAAAATACAGTCCTATAAATATATCATTATCAAAATCTATAAAAAATACAGTCCTATAAATATATCATTATCAAAATCTATAAGAATACAGTCTTATAAATAAATCATTATCAAAATCTATAAAAAATACAGTCCTATAAATATATCATTATCAAAATCTATAAAAATACAGTCCTATAAATATATCATTATCAAAATTATATAAAAATACAGTCCTATAAATATATCATTATCAAAATCTATAAAAAATACAGTCCTATAAATATATCATTATCAAAATTATATAAAAATACAGTCCTATAAATATATCATTATCAAAATCTATAAAAATACAGTCCTATAAATATATCATTATCAAAATCTATAAAAATACAGTCCTATAAATATATCATTATCAAAATTATATAAAAATACAGTCCTATAAATATATCATTATCAAAATCTATAAAAATACAGTCCTATAAATATATCATTATCAAAATCTATAAAAATACAGTCCTATAAATATATCATTATCAAAATCTATAAAAATACAGTCCTATAAATATATCATTATCAAAATCTATAAAAATACAGTCCTATAAATATATCATGATCAAAATCTATAAGAATACAGTCCTATAAATATATCATTATCAAAATCTATAAGAATACAGTCCTATAAATATATCATTATCAAAATCTATAAAAATACAGTCCTATAAAATACAAACAAAAACATCATCATCAAAATACGGCTCTAAACAAATGTATTTATACATAAACAAATGTATTACATAAACAAATGTATTTATACATAAACAAATCTGTTGTTACTTACTGGAATAATAACACCATTGATATCAAAAACAGATATATCTATTTCTACATTTTTAGCTGATTTCTTCGTTCCACGGTCGAATTCGGCACAATTTATAGTTAAATACAGGTCATTACGAACTTCACCTAAAAAAAATTACATAACAAATTCAACAGTTACGTCAGCTGCGTCTGAGATAGTGCCTCACGCAGAATTGAACTTCAGTGTTAAAAAAGAGTTTGAATATTTTAACATATTATTGCACGCCATAAAACATCAATACTGATATTATACTGTATTCAGTATTAGAAAATTTCAAAGTGTCAAGGCCCTCAAGGGACTACTTGGACTAACGATGGAAGAGTGGGGAATGGTTGGGGCACAAAAGAGGACGACCAACCTACCTGGATTGACAACTGTATCAGAGAACCCTAGACGTTGAGCTATAGCTACATCTTTAGTAAATAAGATAGGACTCTCTGTTTTAACAGTAGGCAAGTCTCCTCGTAACATTCTTAATGATATCGCCATTCCTACAATTAGATACAAAATTATCAATAAAGTACATAACATGGTTATAATTATAATGGTTTTGTAGAAAGTGTCAAATAGCCATTAATAGTATGTGAAATCTCAAAAAATCCATCTACTCAACAATCTTTTTAGATTTCCAACTGTCGAGGGATCTTTAACATGCACAGCCTGTAGCAGCCTGGGTCTGTTTTTATTGTTACCATCAGCAGCCATTTTCAGGTTAGTCCTTTAGACCTGCATCACTGACAAGTTGAAACCTGGTTGAAAATCCAAACTAGTACAGCCACTACAGAATCTATGACTTAGAATTGAGAAATTCTAAACTTACCAAAATTATTCCTGTCTGATTTGTCTGGAAGTAAGGATTTTTGAGGATTTTGAGCTTTTTTAATTAAAGATTCGTGAAGACTGGTCATATTACTCTCAGCATCTACACAACTGTAATGGATAAAATTTTGATTATTTGTAGAGGAACTTGGTGTCAGATTTTCTAGAGAGTGATACAGATTGCTGAAATTTAGCTGGTGAAATTTATCTGGTAAAATACACATATTTCAACATTGCCACATGAAGATAAATATCATGACGGATTGAAATTGAGTTTTACATTCTATTTTTCTGCGCATAAATTGAAAGCCACAAGCAATGGCTGTGGTACATGTTTATTGCTAGAGAACCATAGTTCATGTTTATAGAATAGATCATTTCAAATATGCTGTAAAATTCATTAATGAAATTTCTATACCTTTGAATACGGATTTGATATTCTAGTTCATCTTCACTTGATGATTTTAATACATCTTTTAAACAGTGAACTGAAGAAAAGAAAAAAGGATTAAAATACAACCAAATAAAACAGGGGCTCAGTTTATTGTTCCATCCGAACGACTAGACACTTTTTTCCATTTCAGCCCCTCAGACAACCATCACTGACACAGGGAAAACCAGTTCTAAAAATTCGAAGTTATCTCCACCAATGCCAAAACTGAACTGTAAAAATTAGTGAGCGTGTGTCCAAATCGATGAGCCACAGCAAATCTTCTTAAAGCTTGGAATGAAAAATATAAAATAAATCAAAACGTGTTTTCATGGTTACCTACCAGCACATCCCCAGGGACGTCTATATTTAAACACTGGAGCCTTTTTACTGTTGTTATCCAATAATACTTTCCCTGAAAATATCATAAGAAACTCTTACATTCTGTTCTCTTACAATTCAATCAAACATTCAATCAAACATTCAATCAAACATTCAATCAAACATTCAATCAAACATTCAATAAACATTCTGTGAAAGTTTTCCTTGTATCAAGATAATCATAGGCTAGATCTAAACCAAATCTATATCAACTGGAGAATAATAATCCACATGTCTGCTTCTGATTGGCTAGCCTTAATTAATATTTGTTACATTTTTTTCATTTTAGGATTAATTTCATCACTTCAAACAAGATAAGTTACACTCTCTCAAATAGCATGCTAATTCAACAATTCAAAATAAAAAATACATTTCAAGTATTAAAGGCATGCAAAAACTGTTCATACTTGCTTCATGCAATTGTTATAACTTTCATTCTTAAATATATATTTTACATAAACGAAAATAAATCTGAATACATTCTTTAGCATGACAAGTTTTCATTTGGAAGAAAATCTAACCAATCAATGCTTTGTTTAACAAAGACTTTGACACCACTTTTTCGAAAGAATAAATAAGTTAAGTTCATGCATCAAAAAATCCATCAAGACACTAGAACTTTCACCAAATTATTTTCAACAATTCACTAAAAGAGTGCATGAAATGAAACGCAATGTATTAAGGTGTTTCAGCACCAAAACAGCCCATATAGCACCCACTATAGGTTGTAGAAATGATAAAATAATTTATTCAAAACCTCAAAAAAATAGAAAACACAAACACAACTGTCAATCTACAAGTCCAGTCTATCCTACCTTTTAACAACTGTTCATGAGAATCTTGAATAATCTTACCTAATTTATAAGGGGAAATGTGGTAAAATGTCATTTCTGGGGTGGAAAATTGTTTCAAATTTTAGAATTCATATTGATATATAATTATCAAAATCATTATTCAAAGAGAGCTCAAATCCTTAAGGGAAAACAGCAAGTCAAAACAAAATCTGACTCAAAACATGTAAAATTTAAAAATGTGCTTGTATAACTATGAAATGGTGAAGAATTTATTCAAAATGAAAAAAAAAAAAATTTGTGACCAAGTTTAAACTTACCATATCTATAAATTTGAGCCACTATAAATAAATCTTTATTCAAATCTTCATCAGATAGGTCCTGCAATATTTGAAAATAATAATCAACAAATGAGCTTTAGTGAATTATGTACAAGGGGACAAAGGTGGCGTGGATTCACTCTTATTGTTAAATATTATGGTGCAACAGACAGTGCTTTCAAGATCTGGCCAAATGTTGTCTTTGGAAGTAATACATGTTTGAGATGATTTCTAGTCATTTAGTGGAAGAAGCAAAATAAATCCCATAAGAGAACTATATTATCACCAAATGAACTAGCCATTTTTCCCCCAATTTTAGACCTTCTGTTAACAATTTGTTAGTTTGGTTTGTAATTTACAAATTATACCTACCAAGAATAAACCATAATAAGCGTCTAGTTTATCCATTGATAAAGGCATGCCTTGTTTACTGTAACGTACTAAAAACTTCTCACTGTAATATAGATATTTCATATTATACTAAGAGTTGAACTATTTCCTTCATTGTACACTCAATGTTGCCTCTTTATCAATAAATAGATTGGACTGTGGTTCTCTCCATCCAAATAGCTTGGTATAAGGCAATGAATTCTAACCAATCAAATCATCCAATATGATGGTAGGATATATTATTGTAATATTGTGGTCTTAAGATATCAAGATTGTGAGAAAGTTATCTCCCTTGAGAGAAAGATGAGAGCCTGAATAAAGATATAACCTTATAAACTGGTTTGTATCAGCATCAAAAAGAGACAGATAGATTTCTGCCTCATCGCCCACGTTACAGGGAAAACCTCGAACATTTACTAAGACGTGATGAGTATCATAATGACGGTTCTCTTTACTACTTCTCTGTCGTGACATGGTCAATTTACGAGGCTAAAATAAAAACATGTCAAACTATTAGGATTGTAAGGTTGTTGTCATAAACTGTACTGGTTTTCTCTCTCCAGTTTGTCAGAACTATTTCATCTAAACCAGTCATGTCTGATTCGAGTTTTAAAATATCCTGTTACCAAGAAATAGAAAAAATGCAATCAAAAGCAAACAAATGTATCTAAAGAGCTATAAATTTACAAAGATATGACTGGAGATGAAAATATCAATACACAATAAAGTCGATAAAGGGGAAGCAACTCTTTCACACTAAGAATTGGAGAAATTTACTTACCCATGTACCTTTACTAGACTCCACACTATTACAATGTACCCTATAAAGGGAGATAACACTATGTTTCTCGTCATCGATGATTTCACCATCTATTCTTGGAACTAAATCGAGCCCTAATTTACTGGAAAAATATCAAAATTCAATTTGTTATGTATCCGAAAGTTTACTTCTATTTCGATGCCCTGATAAGAATTTTGTAGGAGCTCTAGACAAATGAAAGATCAGTTTCAAATTTTTGAAGCAATTTCATCTCTTTTTCATCAAGCAGATCTTTAAGGACCTTGGCCAGTGCTTTCATGGGTGTTATAATAAGCATCGTCCACATAATTATCACACAATGATGTTATAAATAAATGAGCGAAACAACCATTTTTACAAGGATAACAAGGATCCTTTCTACAAGCTGGTGTTTGGCTAAAACCTCTTGGATTATCCAAAAAGAGCTGATATGAATAAAACAAGTATACCCGTTTCCCCAGTCAATTCTCATAATAATCTCATTTTTAATACTGAAGAGCTGATCCTCGGTGATGGTATTCTGTACAAGTTGCCGTCGGTAATTTATCAACGCTACCATCACTTCTTCTATTCTGGTGAACATTGGATGACTTTCCTGAAATAAAGACAAAACCTACATTAGAAAAGAGGATTCAAAATGCTTTTTGTAAGTATGTGACATTTCTATAGGCTACATAGACCCCACAAAACTGCAGCAGATCTAAAACCCCAACTCTGAAATTCCCTCAAATGATGAGAATAAAAACAAAATAACAACATAATAAACTGGTTTCATTCATGCCTCGTTTTTCAAGTGAATTATGACCATAATGCCCCATTACTCAGTCTGCGTATTCTGAAACGATCTTAGGAAAGATCAATCCTAAGAATTAAAATTAAAATGATCTTTTCTGTGTTTGAGACTGTTTCTAGGACATCCTAGTGCTAAGATCATTTGAGAATACACTGCCAAAAGTGATTGTATTTAATAAGCCCAGACAATTGTTCTATACACTACGTACCACATATAATTTCTTCCATTTTACCGCCCAGTCTCTCAGAACAAACGTGACTTCTTTCATCACTGGATCTTCCGTCGGAATGATATTCTCAAATCTCCTGCAATATTCAGATGTCAGAGAAATACAACTAATAGTGCAATAGGGTAGTTGAAAAATTAAAATTCTCAAATCTGTCGGTGGGTATATCAGTTGGTAGCATGTAGGATTGTCGTCTGTTAGGGAGCTTAAAGATGAATTCCCTTCAAGGTTATAATAATTTCTATGCCATTGCCAGCACTTTCTAAAGTTAAATGTCAACTCTTCACAAAACTTTATCAACTTTGAGCTAACCATTACGCTAGTCAATAGACAGGGATTTCATCAGTCTTCATGAGCAGCAAAAAAGAAAATAAAGCATGAAAATATTGAACCTACCCTTCATTTTCAACCTTACATGGTTTAACATGGACATAGCTAGCTGGAAATATTCCCTGAAAGATACAAAACACATTATATCCTGAATCATAAAATCTATTAATATAACAGGGGGTTAAGGTTGGCCTATGACTTTTCAGGACTAGAAGCAACTGGGAAATTTTTATAAATTGCTGGATTTAGTGCACATACGAATGAAGGCTTGATGTCGTCCCAAATTGTCATTAGTTATCTGTTTTCTAGGTACCATTGGGAGGTTGCAATAAATGATCAATGATGTTTGAAAACATGAAACCCATCCTTTGATGAGCTACTGAATGATGTAAATTGTGATGCTAAAAAAAGACTGTTCTAAATGGAACCTACCTGTTTGTCTTTATTTTTCATAGAATATCCTCGATACCATATTGCTGAAATTGTGAAAAACAATTTTTCAGTACAGAATATATTTTATGCAACTATCAGAGACCCACTACACACATAGCAACTGTCTAAGAAATTGAGGCAAAAAATTGGTATTTTCATATTCATTGACTTTTTTTTATTAGGAGGGTGGGGCAGTTGGGTGAAGAAGGTCCTCATAAAAATTATTTGGTGTAGCCTATGCCAGCACAGGAATCTTGCAATTATGGAGGGCATCTAAAACTCTTTTGCCTTACTTCCTGTTACAGTGGTTTTTAAGTTGATAACTGATAGAAGTACATTGTACACTTAAAATGTCTGATTATGAAAAGTATCGTAATGACAGTTAAACTAAAAGTAGAACAAAGATATATCATAACTTCCTAGTTTTATCTTTAATATAGTTATATAGTCTATATGGAAATTCCAGGTAAACCCCAAAACAGAATGTGATATGATATGACAAATATTCCTTGTTTTATTTCTATATTATCTTTATAGTTTAATCTCATATTTGATCTTATCTAACCTGTATTGACTTCCCGTAATTTTATCTGATAAATAGGTTAAGGCATGATACTTACATACTGAGATATGATATACTTTATGATATACTTTATGATATACTTTATGATATACTTTATGATATACTGAGATATACTTTATGATATACTTTATGATATACTTTATGATATAAGTTGTGATACAAGATAAACAGTAGTTTATCCACTACTGTGTAGTCAACTCTGTATCTCTTTTAGAGAGTCCACATAGCTAATACTGTTATTGTGGTATTTAGGTTTATTAACTCTGTATCTCTTTTAGAGAGTCCACATAGCTAATACTGTTATTGTGGTATTTAGGTTTATTAACTCTGTATCTCTTTTAGAGAGTCCACATAGCTAATACTGTTATTGTGGTATTTAGGTTTATTAACTCTGTATCTCTTTTAGAGAGTCCACATAGCTAATACTGTTATTGTGGTATTTAGGTTTATTAACTCTGTATCTCTTTTAGAGAGTCCACATAGCTAATACTGTTTGTGTGGTATTTAGGTTTATTAACTCTGTATCAGAGAGTCTACATAGCTAAAAATGTTTATTTGATATTTAGATTATATTTCAGAGATTCCACATACCAAATAATGATCTTTATGTGATATTTAGGTATACCTTTATGAGTCCACATATCTAATATTGTTTATATGACCACTATAATATAAATGGAATTGGCAATGCCAACTCTGAATCCCTTTCAGAGAGTCCACATGACTAATAGTGTTTATTTAGTATCTATGTTTGTCAACTCTATATCACTTTCAGAGAGTCCACATTGCTAATAGTGTTTATTTAGTATTTACATTATAATATAATGTTTATGTTACATATCAATTTCAACTTCCTTTTTTAAAATAAACAGAGTTCATAATTACTGATTAAAGAGTATTTTCTAAACTTTTTACGTGTTTTGATAAGGGACACTGATAGCATCAACATGTGGATCTTGCAATTTCATAATTAGTGCTTAAGCAGCTTAAATACAAAATGAAGATTATTTAATATGTGGACAATCTGAAGGAAATGCTGAGTTGATAAATCGAAATACCAAATTAACATTATTAGCTATGTGGACTCTCTGAAAGGGATACAGAGTTAATAAACCTAAATTCCACACAAACATTATTAACTACGTGGACTCTCTAAAAGAGATGCTGAGGTGATAAACCTATATATCATATTAACAGTATTAGCTATGTGGACTCTCTGAAAGGGATGCTGAGTTGACAAGCATAAATACCAAATAAACATTATTAACTATGTGGACTCTCTGAAAGATATGCTGAGTTGATAAACCTATATATCATATTAATAGTATCAACTATGTGGACTCTCTGAAAGATATGCTGAGTTGATAAACCTATATATCATATTAACAGTATTAACTATGTGGACTCTCTGAAAGGGATGCTGAGTTGACAAACATAAATACCAAATAAACATTATTAACTATGTGGACTCTCTGAAAGATATGCTGAGTTGATAAACCTATATATCATATTAACAGTATTAGCTATGTGGACTCTCTGAAAGGGATGCTGAGTTGACAAGCATAAATACCAAATAAACATTATTAACTATGTGGACTCTCTGAAGAAGATGCCGAGTTAACAAAATCAGTTCATGGGTTTTTCAGAATATAAATTTACAAAATAATTAGCCAATAAAATGTAATTATTTTACTGGAAAATTATTTGTATCTATTTCAACTTCCTGGTCTATAAAACCTGTACAGCACGCTACGATTTTATTTCTATTTATACACGCTTCATGTTAAAACATTTAGTAGCATAAAACATTCTTCAAACACCTCAGGCAAAATCTTAAAGGGATATACTCATGTAGATATCTACCTATTTATTAGCTGGTGGAAGTTTCACAAGGCAAGGCTATAGTCGAGATTTGTTTGAAACAAAAAGTCTATGTAAAAAAGCTTAATTCACATTCAGAACTTCGTCCTCCAGACAAAAATCACACAAAGTTATTTTAGAAATCCAGTCAAGCATGAATGGATAATGGATAATACCTTTAAAGCAATTACACATTCAGCTTGGAAAAAAAAATGCCCAAACGACATTCAATAAGTTGAAGATTTAGTCAGATATGACTGGTAAATACAGTCAAATCAACAGTATAGAGTTCCAGTCAGACATGACTGGTAAATACAGTCAAATCAACTGTCTAGAGCTCTAGTCAGATATGACTGGTAAATACAGTCAAATCAACGGTATAGAGTTCCAGTCAGACATGACTGGTAAACACACTCAAATCAACAGTCTAGAACTCTAGTTAGACATGACTGGTAAATAGACTTAAATCAACTGTCTAGAGCTCTAGAATATCTCTACCAGATATCTAATATTATTATATACACTATTAATGAAAGGTAAATTTGAAATTTTTTTTTAACAACTTCCTCAATTATGTAGGACACATGACTTGAATTTTAAACGTAAAAATAACAACATAATCTAATACTAGATAATTTTATATCCACAACAGTACAAGGTTGGTTTAGAGATCTTTATTAAATTGAAATGAGCTAGAGTTTTACACCCTACTGTTCTGTATCTTATTGGACTAATGAAATGAAATGTAGTTTTATATCCTACTGTTCTGTACCTTATTGGACTAATGAAATAAAATACAGTTTTATATCATACTGTTCTGTATCTTATTGGACTAATGAAATGAAATGTAGTTTTATATCCTACTGTTCTGTACCTTATTGGTCTAATGAAATGAAATGTAGTTTTATATCCTACTGTTCTGTATCTTATTGGACTAATGAAATAAAATAGAGTTTTATATCATACTGTTCTGTATCTTATTGGACTAATGAAATGAAATGTAGTTTTATATCCTACTGTTCTGTACCTTATTGGTCTAATGAAATGAATTGTAGTTTTATATCCTACTGTTCTGTATCTTATTGGACTAATGAAATGAAATAGACTTTTATATCATACTGTTCTGTATCATCTTTTTTGTCATTCACCTTATTAGTTAAATTGAAATTTCAAAAGCACCACTTTTAGTGAAAAGAAACGACTTTTTAAGGCTATCTGATACCCACTCCCCTTCTTTTTTCTATTAAACCCTTCCATGCATGCATACTTTGAATCAATATGAAGAACTCATTAGTAAATAAGGGGTGTTTTTTGTCGCCTATCAAATCATATTCGAGTTTGAATAAAACTTTTCCTTGACAAAATTCAATTCATAAAGACTATTATGATAAGGAAGTCTACTCTAGTAAAGGGTGAAAGGATTTGAAGAATACGTGTTTTTAGTATGAATCAAACTGAAACTGAGCCAAAATTTATAACTTTACAAATCTTATAGAACAGATAGAATTTATAACGATTATAAAACAGGATTGTATTTTCATTTTCACTAAATTGGCAATAATTTGAATTTGTTAAAAGCGTAAAAGACGTTTGTCCTCAATAAAAGTTCTGGAGAAAACTTGAATCAAATTTGGCAAATAATTAATCTCTATTCAATATGAAAAATAAAGAACATTCAAATTTATTGTGATCTTAGAACTGAATTACATTTGAGTTAAAATGAAATTGGTAATATTTTACTTTTCTAAAAGCGGTAAAAAAGGAAGACCAGTTGTACAAAATTTACAGATCTTTTGACCTCAATAAAATTTGAGGGGTAAAGTTGATTAAAATATGGCATTAATTAAGCAATATTGATTATAAAAAAAACTTTAAAGGAGAATCTATAACAGGAATAATGAGTAAGTCCTGTCTCCCAATGGATAAAGAAAATATAATATTCTTATGAAGAATTGGTTTATGTTTCTAGCTTTCATAGTTTTGTCATTAGTACAAAGTGCCTCTACCACTTGATAGGACAAATGGATACTTTCAGTCAAGGGGGAGATGGATTAAAACATAATAAATCAAATAAATGAGGAGAGATACAGATAGATAAATCACTGACTAAGTATTATATCACAATAGTCTCTGATAAGATAGTCTCATCTACTCAAAAATTACATAACATAGTAGTAAACAGTCACCTATTTCTTTTGTAGGTGTGAGGGTGAGGGGAGGTTGTGATTGGGTAGCACTTTGGGTATAAGTTACAACGGAGAGTAAAGTAATATTATTCTTACACTTTACTTTTGGGGCTTTTTTTCGCACTCGGTATTAGGTGTTATATATAAGAGAATCTCACTTATAGAAGCACTAAAAAGGAGGGGTTGGGATTTGTCCCTAAAGGTACAGGTAAACAAATGTAAATTAACTAAAGTAACTTTTTATCATTTGTCCCTTATCCCTTTAAACAACTATAAGGTACAGTGCACAGTGTTAAATTAAGTAATGACATAACAAAGTAATACCTTAACTTCATAAATACATATGTAACTTGATATAAGCTTACAACATTAGTTATCACATATCCTACTGTATTGTATATGCCCTTCTAAATTGTATTGTACCCTACTGTATTGCATCTTAATATACATGAGTTGTTAAGGCTTACAAATAATTAACCCTGCAACAAATTTTCCCACTAGCCAATGCAGCATATTTGTTAAGTTTTTTTTTTTAAAAGAAAAACAGGAAATTTCATCATCTGCCTCTGGGTACATTTTACTTTCTGCTGAAACTATCAACTAATACCAGAAAGCACTGACCTTTTCCTGGAGTTTTAGGTCCATATTCTTCAACTAAATGTAGGCAAGTTCCAATCTGTAGTGGCAGAGAGTGTTCACTCTTTCCTTCATAGTTATATATACCTACAATATCATATCATATATCATCAATAACATAACTACATAGAAATAACAAATTTTTTTAGGACAAAAGCATTAAAAATAGATATTGAAAAACATACTGAAAGCAGGACAACTACTCTCAAAAGCCCTGGCAGTGGCATCAGAATTTATCTGGCCTAATCCACTCGTATGCAAAGCACTTAATCAGCAAGGAGTCAGCTGATTTCACTGTTTTATTCTGATGGTGAATTACACCTTAAAATTAGATTATAAATAATTAAAAATTTAAAATAACCTTTGAAAACATCAATAATTCTTTTTATTGTAAAAAAAAGTACCCCAAATCTCTGTATTATTGAAGATTTTAAAAAGCAACACCAATTTAAGTTAAATAAACAAACATTTTTACTATTTAACATTTGTGTATGTTCAAGCTTTTGTTTATTTATCTTCGACTTTAGCTCCTACAGACTGTTTACACAAAATAAATAAATACATGTTTTAAGAGGCTACAACTCAAGTAGTATTTTGATCCCACAGAACGAAAGCAATATTTTTGTTCAACACTTGTCTCTTGGATGTTGATTTTAATTTGATCTCACAGAACCAAAGAAATATTTTGCTTTATAAATAATTTGACCACGTCTGTCTATCTGTAAGAGTCATAATTCAATGGGATCAATTATTACTAGGAATTGATATTATAATAAAAGTAATGAGGATTCTGTGTACATTATGATCAATCATTGATCACTAAAATCAATAAAAACAACTATTGATGAGTGAGAGAGTGATGTCTTAATAATTACTGGTGTTATCAGGAATCTCTATTAATGATCACACAATGATTTGACTGATCAATCAATTATTGATAAAAATCAATAATCAATAACCATAATCAATGCAATCAAACAATATATTGCTAATAAAGTTTTATTATTTAAAGATCAAGAATCAATTATGAACATCTTATTATTTATTAGGGGAGGGGTCAGGGAAGTGTGCCAGGGAAGTGTGCCAGGGAAGTGTGCCAGGGAAGTGTGTCAGGGAAGTGTGCCAGGGAAGTGTGTCTTGGAGGGGAGTGGGGGATAAACATTAACTAGATCATATAAGATTATTTAAGTGGGTAACTTGCTAACGATAAGTAGGCCTACTCCTAAATTAAAATGCCATTGATAAAATTTTAGTATTTTGGTGTTTAAGAGTTTTCGTCATTTGTGTGTAGAAAAAAATGAGGAAATACACATTTATTACAACACATTCCCCGATAATATCCTCAAACTCAAAGGTGTAGGGCCTTAACATCCTGCATAATTATATGTTACATTATGATTATTGTATGACATAAACCTTCACAGATATATGCTGCCTTATTATACTTATAATCAGCCTACAGGGGTCTATCATTTCTATTCATAGCCAATTGTTCATTTTTCCTTAAGGGGTTTATCTCCGTCAGTAAACAATGGGCTGTAAACAACGAGTCAAAACGACTGACACCCCATCCCTTAATAACATTCATTCAACTGTCAAATCTCATGTCAAGCTACTGTTAGTCTACAAAGTACATTGCAGTGACAGTAGAGTGGAAGTGACGAATCATCATACTTACAAATTCCGTATTTATTAAGTGCACTCGTAGCCCTCCATGAAAACCGTTCTGCCATTTTGAATTCTTTATCATTTCCTCAATTCTTGCCACTAAATTATAATCTGATCACTCCATTGAGCTGTTCATATGGCATGAAAATAAACATGCTACTTCTCACTTGCCATTATAATGTTTTTGTCACGTGACGAGATATTGATCGTACATGATAACCGAGAGTATCAAATATAGTAGTCGACACTATCCAGAGATAAATACATGTTTCGTAACCACTTGCGAATTAATATTCAAAATGCAATTTGATTTCTGTACTATAAATTGAATCTAGAACACCTATGGATGTATTTCTTACTCAGCAAGCCTAAAAATTAATCATAATGACTGTACACACTCTTTTGAAAGTGGGTACGTTTTGATAGTGATGGTGGTTACAAATTATAAAATTCAAGATGGCAGCCTCCATGGAATGTAAATTTTGCTATTTTAATTTTTTTTCTAAATAAACGATTTCGCTAATTTATTATGCTTATTTATTCGCGTATTTCCTTCTAAAGATTGACGAGCGTTAGCTCAAGTGGCTGTCAAAGCCATTCTTGTAGTTGATCATCTATTGTGCCCATTCCAAGCACGTACTTCACAATCAGTGATTGCCCTGTCAAAATTTCCCTCATAGCACACGTCAATGACACTGTCTGCCGTGAGAGCAATCAGGTGGAAAATAGTAGGATGTAACACTCTGTTTTATTTCTGACATTTGAAGGTGATGGAATAATATGTGATTCTAAAATCAAATTTTTATTTTTTTTTTTTTCAGCTTCAGGGTCTTCTGATAAACCTGTATTGGAGACCCTACACTTAGATGATATCAGAAATAGTTATCTGTCGGGTGGGGTTGACGTTGGGGCATGCCCCTGTCTGTTCTGTGATGAAGTTTACCAGATTACAGAGAAAAAAGACGATCTTCTGGCTCATCTGGTTGTCAAACATAAATTTGTGATCGCAGATGTAAATTTAATATCAAATTTTAGAAGGTAAAACATACAGAATAAATTAATTTTGTCATCCAAGACATCTTTGTCATGTAAAAGGGCAAGAATTGATGTGGATTAAGATTTGGGCCAGTTCAGATGTAATTCTGACCCTGTGTGTATTTTTTCATGAAATTGTGTAACACCTAGCACCATTACTATAAGCTAGAGTGTCTAGTATTAGACTGTAAAAACATTAATTTGATTAATGATTGATATGCATGATCCTAGCTAAATTTAGGTGTTTAAGACTGTTTTTCAAATGTTAATTTGTTATAATTTATAAATTTCTGATGTATCTCAGGTATATAGATTATTGGAAGAAAAGACTAAAAGAACAACCGATTACTGATTATTGTTCTGTGATAGTAACTAATACTGATATTAAAGATACAGGTAATATATATAATATATATTTTAATTCCTTAAATCCTTGGAAAATATCAAAATCTTTCATTGATGTCGTCATTCTTTCTTCCCTCCCTTCAATAATCAGACTGTTTCAAGCATCGGTTAATCAAATTTTAAAATATTTTGGGGCTCTTCTGGGGTAGATACACTTCTACACTAATGTCCACATTGCCTGAAAGACTCCAGAGTATATTTATTCTTCCATTTCAGACCCTAAAGAAGAATATTATTTATTATGTGATGTTTTACCTGAAGACAAAGATTTACGACAATTTCTTCAAAAACAAAAACTGGTAAAGAAAGTTTGTTACTCCCCTTAGATATGACAGCAATCTTTCTATTCTAAGTTCAATCTATTAACAAAAACTTTCTTTTTGATGCTCTTTAGAGTCACATAAAAGTCTAAAAACCTGCACATTTTCACAGCTTTGAAAGAAAAGGGTACAGAAAACAGCACTCTCCAGGCTTCAGTGGTTTTGTGCTTTGAAGATTTTCAATATTAATTTTAGATGATAATGAAATTAGTAAAATGATATTTTTTGTAGGAAGAAGTTCTGGCCAGTCAACAGAAAGAAAGAGAAGACAACTCTTTCAATGCTCAGTGTTTATTTTGTAAAGAACATTTCACTGGCAACAGGTTGGTTTCAATTCAAAGATTAAATTATAGCAATGAATAATCAATCCTAAGTAATTATTAGAATTTATGCAGCTATCTTTTTTGTTGAAAACTATTTTGGGTTAGTAGTTGAAATACCAATGTATGGCAAACAAACACAATCTATTTCGATCATACACTACTATGATTTCTTATCTCCTGTGTATTTTTGTGTATGTTTTGAAAGGCTTTGCTTTGCATTTTTTCAGAAGTTCGATGATAAATCATATGGCTACAGACCACAACTTTAATATTGGACAGCCTGATAATATAGGTAATTTCTCTTTTAATATCTTTCTTGTGATGAGCTGGGTAATTCTTACACATGAAACAGTGGTACGCCATTTTATTATTTAAAAATGAAAGTTAAAATATAAAATTGTAAAATGTATTATTTCTATTTTTAGTATATTCTAATGAATTTATGACAGAATTACAAACTATGTTAAACAAGTAAGAATTATTTCACTTTTTCTAATCTCCACATTTTGACAGTGCATAGCATAGTTAAGGTAACTATGGATAGGTTTTGAAAGGTACAAATAGTCTGTATCTTCAAGAATGTAAGTTGTTATTCTTGTAAAATTATTGTCAAAAAGGTTTGGACAAGAATCAAGCTGGTATAAAGGATCCTTGAGACCTTCTTTAAGCTGTTATCTTTGGAGAAAATGGTTGTTTTTTTTTCTTCTTCAAAATAGGTTAAGCATCATTGTTTTCTGTTTTAATTGCAGCTTGCAGTGTCTATATTGTGAAAAAATATTCAAAGATAAAACTTCACTGAAAGAACACATGAGAAAGAAACTACATCGTAAAATAAAATCTAATAACAGAAAATATGACAAATATTATATTATAAATTATTTGGTAGGAATCAGTTTTATTTATTTTCGTTTTCAATTTTTACCTTGAATGATCAAGAATGGATATGACTCTTCTCATGTCTACCGTAATGATTTTGTCAGTCTATGGATTGTGACATGGATATATATCCTCGGTTCCTGAAAGTCTAAAAAAATTCATGATGCCACTGTCAGATATCAGGTCAGCATTTTCATGTATCTTTTACACTTGAAAATCTGCAAGACTTCCACATTAAATATTTCAACAGTTTTTTTTGTTAATTTTCAACAGGAATTGGGAAAGAACTGGGAAGAAATACATACAGAAGATGATGGAGATAATAATACAGATATAGAGGATGAGACAGAAGAACAGAACATTACGTAAGTTATATGTCTTGGATATTATCAGGACAGTTAGTTTTGGAAATGAGTGGGGTTCACTTGCCAGTGCAAGGCTTGAGGCAATGAGAAACATAACCAAACTAATAAAAATATTTTTAATTCCAGAAAGACAATTTATACCGTATATAGAATAATCACAGTTCAATAAATCACAAAACAACAAAATTTACAAACCCTCATAAACAAGTCTACATAGTTAATATTTAGGTTTGTCAACTTGTCTTCATAGAGTCCACATAGTTAATAATGTTTATTTGGTATTTAGCTTTATCAACTCAACATCCCTTTCAGAGAGTTCACATAGCTAATAATGTTTATTTGGTATTTAGCTTTATCAACTCAACATCCCTTTCAGAGAGTTCACATAGCTAATAATATTTATTTGGTATTTAGCTTTATCAACTCAACATCCCTTTCTGAGAGTCCACATAGCTAATACTGTTTGTGTGGTATTAAGGTTTGCCCACTCAACATCCCTTTCTGAGAGTCCACATAGCTAATAATGTCTGTTTGGTATTTAGGTTTGTCACCTCTAAACACCCTTCATAGAGTCCACAATGTTTCTTGATATATGGGTACATATTAATTCATCCCTTCTATCAATCAAACTTGTGTTTCGTTGGTTACCGTCTGAGGAGCTATCTTACTGGTCTGACAATTTTTAAGGGGAGGTAACTTTCGTAATGGACGAATTAAGTTTTGTCTGTAGGCTTTATTAAAGATGAGGTATAGGAAAGGGTTTATTATGGGGGTTAGAAAGAGAAGGATGCTCGTTATGCTATCTTCTAAACCTTCGATATGATTTTTCTTATTACTGTAGTCGATGATAATTTTAATCTGAAATAAACATTACAATGATTTTTACAATAAATATTACAAAGCAAATAGGGTGGTGCGGGCAGGGGATTCGCGAAGGACTGTGGTGCTTTAGCAATTTCAAACAATGAAAGTGTCACTTCAGCTTATTTACTTGAGAAACCCTACTCTAGAATATCGAATTTGTTTTGCCTCAAAGGATTTGAACTTAAAACACCCACCTGCCAACTCAGTAAAGTCTGCTTTTAATGTTGTCATTGTTTTAAATATTGATTATTCATTGTGTCCTAATGCATGTAAAGAAATTCTGAGATTTTTAAAAATTTTATCTTCAAAAAATTTGAATGCTAATCAAAGATAAATCTAATTAAAATCTTAAAGAAATTGGAAAGGTTTGCCTAATGAGAACATTAACAATATGATATTTTTTTTATCTTTAATTAACAATTTTAAAATTTTTTAGATTTTGAATTATTTCTGTCTGTAAATTGAAACCTTGATAATTTGTCCATTAGTATAATATTGATTAATATTGAAGTTTTAGCTAGAAGCAGAATTTCTCTAAGGGATATTGTTCTATGATTATTACTTTATCATCAGACAGATTTTTATAAATCAAGTCATTAACCTAAACAGTTCTTAAGAGTTTTGCTAAATTTTGTATGTATTACTGCATCCACTGTTAAATGTCAACAAAAAAATTGAGTCCTGAATATTTATTAAATTAAAATATTTCTTAAACTACACATACATGTAAACTGGCCTAAATCTAGAGACAGGCCTGGAAAATTCTAGAGATGGGGGTGAAAAATCTGGAGATTGGGGTGAAAAGGATTTCGACTCTTGCGAAGAGCGTGATTAATACACAAGACACAGTAAAAATATGAAATAACATACTTATACTTACACTGAATGGCAAGGTACAGATACAATTGACAATGGCTACAACTTTGATTAGCAAGGAAAACTTATTGGCTTTGTTTTGTCCAACAGATGCTGCAAAATGCATTCCATTGAAGATACGAGCCCTCTTACGCAGTTTGATATAAGTTGCTATGTTTGAGAGTACTACTATAACAACGAGAAAGGTCATGTAGATTCCGTTGAACAACACAAGGGTGGCGTGAGTCGCGTTCTCTTGACCCCAGGCCGACCAATGAAAGGCACAGAATTTGTTGTCGTTATAATAAATATAAGGAGCTCCGACGTTAAAAAATGGCAGCCCGACTAAGGTCATGTTTATTACTACACAAACCGCAAGCCCCATAAATAATTTCTGAATGGTTAACTTGGTATGATGATAAATGGGAAAAACCACCATTAAAAATCTCTCAATGCTAATCAGTCCAATAAGGTTAATACTTAATCCAAAACTTGTAATCCCAAAAAATCCTAAAATTTCACAGAAGATATTTGACCGGAACATGTTACACGTAAAAATATTTGCCATGATGGCCGTTAATAGTGTTACAGACGAAAACATATCATTGGCAGCTAAAAACACCAACAACCAAAGATTTTTACTCTTCATGGATTTGGCTAGATGTGTCAGATTTATCATGGCCAACACATTCAAAATGAAGGAACAGAATAAAACGATGGGTAGTTCGGCTTTGTTCAGACGAATGTGACAAGTTTCATCGGTCAAATTGAAAAACTCCATGGACGTCATTTTGATAAATGTTATATTTTCGACAACTGATCTTGTTTCACCGGTCCTGGTTTCCTCTCTGAAGGTGACTAACACACAGCTTCTATACTACGGATTTATACTTCTACAATGTCTTGCTTTCAAATTTACTGTTTCTTAGCTCTCAATTCTTCAAATAGAAAAACTTTCGATGTCAATCTCTTCTTTACAATACGTTTAATTATTGTGCATAAACACCATTTTCAATACAAAAGAACTCTCTCTTAAAGTCTCTTAGCTCCAAATCTTTTTAAAATTTTCCCCCAATGAAAAAACTTCCGAAAAGATATTGCCATGTCTTCATTTGTGTCGTTTTCAATCAATGTTTTAAGATTTCAATGTATATGAATGACTGAAAAAAAAGGTCATTTAGAGATAAGCATTACTATTAGCATTTCATTTAAAAATATTCAAATTTGCTGTCAGACCTGAATATAAAAGTCAGAAATCTAACTTAACTAATCTACAAATAAAAACCAAGTACTAACAATCCAAACAGCAAAACTAATTCAAAATCCAAAGCAACATATTGGTGAAACATTGGTAGCAGCTAATGAACTTTTCATATGAGGAAGTATATCAATAATATGTGAATAAGTATTTTATAATGAATAGTGGTATCAGGTGACTAGAAGAGTAAGTATACCCTGCCTGGCACGATAACCTATCTTATATCATAACATAATACCTTCTACAATGGTGTGGCTGAAGTCAAAGTAATCCACCAAGTGCCTGATGAAATTCAAAAGATTAAAAAGTATATCACCAATATTAGGATATATTTTTTTGTTAATTAATTAATTACTGCCACTAATTATCAATATTATCGTTAATTATCTGTTATCATTTTCACCTGTTTAATGACTGATATAAAATCTTGAGTCAAAGAACTTGACAAAAATCAGCAGTTTAAAAAAGTCTATTTGATAATAATAATAATTAATTATTAGCATCAATTAGCTTTCTCATTTTCACCTGATTTTTATTAGCACCTTACGTCTGATTATGATCTTTCTGTTAACTTCCAAATTGACAATCTGACATTAATCAAAGCTGACTGGAGATTTTTGATGTTTGAAAAATATAATGTCAATCCAAATTAGAATTTAGTCCTTTGATTTCGAAATATTCAAACAGATTCTGATATGAAGGTAAATTATTTGAAGAAGATTATAACAAAAAGGGTAGATTCACCTCTATCTTATTATCTTATTCAGTTCAATTTGATTAAAATGTTTCATCCCGTTTCACAAACAATTTCAATCAAGTCTTGTATTTCTCAAAGTTAAATTCTTATCATTAGATTATTTGTAGAACGGCGCCCAGATCTGGATTAAGAGTTTCATTTTTTTTTTTTTTTTTTTTTTGCATATTTTTGAAAAGATTTTAAAGCTAGGATTTCCCAGAGTCTTAGCTTCTAACATTGTTTCTGGGATATCCTAGCGCTAAGACCGTTCGAGAATAGGTTACTACACTGCTGAAAAAAAACCTCAAACCAAACATACAGACTAGCTTTGTAATTAGGTTTTATTAAGTTTGAAGAAAACAATGTTTTTAACACAAATAAGTATAAAATACACCTTGTTTGACATAATATTTCATAGTTTTAAATTTTGAACAATTTGACCAAGAAAAAAAAAAAGAAAACCCAAAGCCAAACATAGAGACTTGCAAATAGATTAGATTGTTTTAAGTTTAAAGAAAATTTGTTTTAACACAATTTAGTTTTGAGACAATATTACCAAAATTTAAGAATCTAAGGAAGAAACTAATGTACTTACTTGATTACCTGACTTGTCAACTGTCAGTTGAAGTTAGACTTCTTTATATAACTTGGCGTCGACCGGAAAATAATCAATTTCCCTGTTATTATGTTGAAACAAAGTCTTTAAGTCATGTCTAATGACAGGGAGAAAACAGACAGATCTTAATCATAGACTGAGTTAAAGTCTACCTACAAGGTGATATAATCAATGAGGTAGACATGAAACTATTCTAATAGCTGGTAACAAAGTAAACTCGACATGCACTTATCCAAACTTCAATCCATTAAATCTTAAACACATTTCAGCTATCTGTACTATTTTATCAGAGAAAATATTATTATTGTAGTTGTTTGAATTACCAGCTGATTGAGCTCAATTTCATCTAGATATTTACTTTACCAGCTGATAGAGCTCAATTTCATCTAAATATTTACTTTACCAGCTGATAGAGCTCAATTTCATCTAAATATTTACTTTATCACATCTAAATATTTACTTTATCAGCTGATAGAGCTCAATTTCATCTAAATATTTACTTTATCAGCTGATAGAGCTCAATTTCATCTAAATATTTACTTTATCAGCTGATAGAGCTCAATTTCATATAAATATTTACTTTACCAGCTGATAGAGCTCAATTTCATCTAAATATTTACTTTATCAGCTGATAGAGCTCAATTTCATCTAAATATTTACTTTATCAGCTGATAGAGCTCAATTTCATCTTAATATTTACTTTATCAGCTGATAGAGCTCAATTTCATCTTAATATTTACTTTATCAGCTGATAGAGCTCAATTTCATCTAAATATTTACTTTATCAGCTGATAGAGCTCAATTTCATCTAAATATTTACTTTACCAGCTGATAGAGCTCAATTTCATCTAAATATTTACTTTACCAGCTGATAGAGCTCAATTTCATCTAAATATTTACTTTACCAGCTGATAGAGCTCAGTTTCATCTAAATATTTACTTTACCAGCCGATAGAGCTCAATTTCATCTATCTGTATAGTTATCAAAATATTTACTTATCAGCTGATGGAGCCCAATTTCAGCTATCTGTATAGTCATCTGAATATTTACTTTACCAGCTGATAGAGCTCAATTTCAGCTGTCTGTATAGTTATCTAAATATTAACTTTACCAGCTGATACAGCTCTATTTCAGCTATCTGTATACTAGTCTAAATATTAACTTTACCAGCTGATAGAGCTCAATTTCATCTAAATATTTACTTTACCAGCTGATACAGCTCAATTTCATCTAAATATTTACTTTACCAGCTGATAGAGCTCAATTTCATCTATCTGTATAGTTATCAAAATATTTACTTACCAGCTGATGGAGCCCAATTTCAGCTATCTGTATAGTCATCTGAATATTTACTTTACCAGCTGATAGAGCTCAATTTCAGCTGTCTGTATAGTTATCTAAATATTAACTTTACCAGCTGATACAGCTCTATTTCAGCTATCTGTTTAGTTATCTAAATATTTACTTTACCAGTTGATAGAGCTCAGCTTCAACTATCTGTATACTAGTCTAAATATTAACTTTACCAGCTGATAGAGCTCAATTTCAACTATCTGTATAGTTATCAAAATATTTACTTACCATCTGATAGAGCTCAATCTCAGCTATCTGTATAGTCATCTAAATATTTACTTTACCAGCTGATATAGCTCTATTTCAGCTATCTGTTTAGTTATCTAAATATTTACTTTACCAGTTGATAGAGCTCAGTTTCAACTATCTGTATACTAGTCTAAATATTAACTTTACCAGCTGATAGAGCTCAATTTCAACTATCTGTATAGTTATCTAAATATTTACTTTACCAGCTGATAGAACTCAATCTCAGCTATCTGTAAAGTCATCTAAATATTTACTTTACCAGCTGATACAGCTCTATTTCAACTATCTGTAAAGTCATCTAAATATTTACTTTACCAGCTGATAGAGCTCAATCTCAGCTATCTGTATAGTCATCTAAATATTTACTTTACCAGCTGATACAGCTCTATTTCAGCTATCTGTATAGTTATCTAAATATTGACTTTACCAGCTGATAGAGCTCAGTTTCAACTATCTGTATACTAGTCTAAATATTAACTTTACCAGCTGATAGAGCTCAATTTCAACTATCTGTATAGTTATCTAAATATTTACTTTACCAGCTGATAGAACTCAATCTCAGCTATCGGTATAGTCATCTAAATATTTACTTTACCAGCTGATAGAGCTCAATTAGGTTGGTAGAGCAAGCTTGAAAAAGAAGAGTCACCTTTAAAATAAAATCAATCATAGAATATCCTTTATAGACATTGCCTCATATTTGTTGATAAGATCAATTGATGATCGATTGGAAACTATTGTCTTCTGTAACTGTGTCTAGGATGTTATATTTTTATATTTGTTTTGTTATAATTCTTTTAAGAAGATCCAGGAGACAAAACATGATACATAATTCTTTTTACCTGAGCTAAGATTCTTTGAGGCTATTTGAACTTTTTTATTTTTAAGATTGATTTGTAATAGATTAACAGAAGACTGTTGTTATTAGTGAAAGACTTTGAGTTGGTAATATAAGAAGATAAAAGCTACATATACACCTCAGACAATACGTGTAGACGGCAATTTCACTGGTGCTCGATTGAAAATACGCAATTTAAACAAAATTAACAGCAAAAGTGTTTATTGTAGATGTAATAAAATTGACTAGTGATGGTAGAAGAGCCAGATGAATTAGTTGATACCTAACGAGTATTCAGCTCATGGATCCTGTATAGTTCTGTTCTACGTCTTTCCATGGTGGTGGTGTTCATGTCAGGTTCATGATTTATGTAGTCTATGTAAATTTTAACAAAACTAGCAAAAACATTGATGCTATATCAGTGAAGGTGTTCTTAATTTTTATTTAACCTATTCTAGATAGCAAATACGTAAATTTTAACAAAACTAGCAATAACATGAAAGCTTAATCAGTCAATGGAGGAAATTAAGTCAGAACCATAAGCTAACGCTTAGATGTCCTTTATTTAGTCTATTGAGGATTGAAAATATGCAAATTTTAACATGGATATTGGTAAAAGTGCGCTGTATTCAGTTCAATGTAGATTAAAAAGATGCAATATTAAAATAACTAGACTAAAAATATATATTTTTAGATGTTACTAGATATTTAAGGAAATAAATTTTGAAAAATAATTTAATGAATTGTTATTTAAGATTTCAGATCAATATTTTATTGTAATTATCTACTAGATACTTCATAGACCTTCATTTTATTATGGCTGAAAAATATCAAAATGAATTCTGAATTAATTAGACTCTACTGCTAATTAGAAGACAAACCATTGATTATCAAAGCTATAACGATTTGAAATGAGTATGGAGATGATACAACTAGTCGTTAGTTTGGATAATCTGAAAATTAATGAAGCTATTTTAGCTCGTATTAAACGTAAAGATTATTATTCTTATAATTACAGTTTTATATTCTCTTATCAACAGTAGATCCCTCGACAGGTTGAAAATCTAAAAGAGCAGGCTAATGCCGCTGTCCTGGCATCCTTTTCCTCATTTCACCCTGCATGGTGTTGCCCATATTCATTAACCCACATGGTGCAGAAAAGTAGGATGTAAAACTCCATTCATTTATTTCCTTTTTTTAATCAACAGTGTCCTCACTTCGGCAAGTAACAAAGACAAGAGGGGGTACTAACAAAGAACATATTATGGGGGTTTCAGTGGTCTTTCTCTTTGAGATGTTATATTCTGTAAGAAGATGAGCTCTTGTTAATATAACAAATTATACTAGAAGACTGATTAAAAGAGACTATAAAGTATAATAGCGTGATTAGAGAAATCTTGATTAATCTTGAAAATCTCATATTAAAAAGGTCGCAAGAGATTTTAGATTAATCATTTTATATCATAGTTAATTTTACCTGAGAGACGTAGGTTGTATTGTTATCTCTGAGATGAAGGTATTTCATCCTAATGATATTCTCATATATTCTCATAAAAAAGAGGCCATTTCATCCTTATGGTGGGAAGTCATTACATATATAACTTAGTAACTTAGCACAAGCATGTATTCAGGTATTGTTTTTAGTAGTCAAAGCCAACATGCCTGGTGAATATTTCATTGAACTGGTGTATAAATAGTTTAGTGTATAAATAGTTTTTGTAGAGAAAAAACATGAAACATCTATACTGATCCATGACTTGTCTGACTGTTGATTATATTATTTTAATATTATATTTTCAGAGATTGGTATAAATGGAAGGAGGAAGCAGGAGCGCAGGCTGTTTGTTTATTTTGTGAATTTTCATCCAGTCTTCCAGATTGTTTACGAGACCACATGCAGGTGGGGTGGGGATTATTTTGATTATTAATTAACAACATGATTTATTAAGGCTCAAGTCTTATAATATCCTGATTAGAGATTGGACAATATTAAATGAGATAGTTGATTATTAATATTCTTTATCCCAGAGTTAATACTACCTTATTCATTTCACTCCTTAACACTTTAAAGAGACAGGTTCGCCATCTGTTTGAAGAAGCGTACTTATTTTTAATCAGTAATAGTGTTCATGGCTGACTGACAATTTGAGCTTCTTAATATCTTGCTGTACATATTCTTAGATTAAGATTTTTGTCAAGAATCTATGACAGAATGTTATCATAATTCCCGTTTTTTTTTTTAAACAGGTACACACTCTCTCTTTAAATTTTTAATTTTCTTTTGAAGGAGCTCCATGATTTTGATCTACATGAAATCAAACTGAAGTTAAAATTGAATTTTTATCAGAAAGTCAAGCTAGTCAACTATATCAGACGACAGGTATATCATAATCTATATCAGTAGGATGCAGGCTGAAATAGGCCCGTTATCTAAAGTCTGCATAGCGTGCAACTCTAAGTAACAACATGATTTAAGTTCTGTTTTGATAGTACTATTTCACTCTACAATTGATGAGTACTATTTTAACAGTAGAAATATTTTATTACGGTAAAGTTGTTATATGGCTATTTTTGTAGGTGTATCAAGGTATATGTTATGGTTGTCAGGAAGAATTCCAAGATAAGAAGGAACTATTAGATCACATGCACTCTACAGACCATATCAGTCGAATACCGGCGCCAACTGTCTGGGACCAGCCACAGTAAGATATGACTTTCATTATAATATCCAGTCACATGACATAATTCAACTATATTCCATTTTGAAAAAAACTGTGCCTGTTAGAGAATAATAAACAATGAAATAAGACAGTAACAAGTCTGATGCCTCAGCCTGTGTTTCCGAAAGTTGTCATGGCTGAGAGGCTGACCCCGCTTTGAGTAACAACATGTTTCAGGTTTTAATATTTCTAATAATTGTAGGTATTATTTTCCTACGTATGAAAATGACAATCTGTTGTGTCAGTTAGAAGACTGTGAAGAAGATGATGATGATGAATGGAGGGAAGATGATGGTGTACCTGTAATAGCTGAAGATATACCTACTACTTCACTAGCTAGTCAGACTTTCCGCAGGGAAATTCTTAATACATAACTGATAGACTTGCTCTAGTGAGCGTAAAATAGAAGAAGATATACTGACTACTTCATCAGCTAGTCAGACTGTACAGCTGTAATGATAGATGTCTAGCTAAGGCAAACGAGTTTCCATCCTTTGATGCCACAAGCTGGGAACATTTTACTTGCAAACTTGTGAAAGTTTATTGTCTGTGATCTAATTTTGTGTAAAAAAAATTTAAAATAAAATATATTTATTACTTACTTGATTTTCCTGCGAGTTATACATTTTTACAAAAACAAAGACGTTATCAAGAAACAACAATTTCCAACTCGTTAAAATCTTTCTAGCTTATTGACCACTGTCAAGGGTCTTTCATATATACCGGTAAGATAAGACAGTTTGATGGGGAAATGGGGGTATTGAATAAGCCAGATGATTTAAATGAGAAATATCTTTAGAAAAATAAAAGTTTAATAAATCAAATATAACAAAAATGGCATAAGTACATTAAAAATTAAATTATATTTTATATTTTAGTAAAGATATTATTATTCTGATTCAGAGGTTCACACATATCTTTGCTAGAATATAAAACAAATCAGTTATTTGCATATCTGAGGGGACCCTAACACCATTGCTATCATTAGTTGTGTATGCTTGCGAATACAGTCAAAAGTTTCGGGCCAAAAATTAAAATTAATTTTATCGGCTAATGCAAAAAGGCTAATGCGAAAAAATTTACGGTAAAACTATATTCAGTGTTAATCAAATTTTCACAGATGCAACAAGTTGTAGCACAATAAAAATCCAGTTGTTTGTAAATTTTACCAGTCACTAAGTCACCCTGGATTCTGCTTTAATAAGCTTTATATACAAAGATTTCGGCAAAGGCACTTGAAATTCTCATCTTATCTAGGCATCTTCAGTTACAACATCCTATACCTTCAGTTACAACATCCTATTCAGTTACAACATCCTATACCTTCAGTTACAACATCCTATACCTTCAGTTACAACATCCTATACCTTCAGTTACAACTGAGTTCCAGTTTTGATACAGTTTTATATTCAAGACCATTGTAAATATAATAACACAAGTAAAAGTACTATTGGTAATAAAATGTTTCTGGAATGTAAAAATTGTGAACCACTGGTAGGATTTGGTTCTGAAAAAGAAAAGAAATAATTTTGAGGTTTATGAAGAATATACGAGATACAAACTATGTCTTGGCTTTAGAAGCAACAAAGTTAGTAATCTTACTGAAAATTTACACTAAGAAAAAAAACATTTTCTTTAGAATAACCAAAACCTTTATGACAAAAACAATATCAAATTTAATATAAAGAATCTGATTGGTTAATTACATAAATTAATTTTAAATCTAGCTGTATTAACCAATCAGATGACTGGAACACTGAACTCAAAGCTAGAGTTCAAATCGTTTTTGGGACTCACTGAACACTTAAATCATGAAAGAATTCTCAAAAGAATGAGAACAAAACTAAACAAACCTTTAACAATGACTGCTGCAGATGAATAAACAGTTCCGAATATATTGGTAGCGGAACATTGATAAATTCCCTCATCCCTGCCGATTGTTGGAGAAAACAATATCAAGCTTTCAGAACCAACATAGATCTGATCGGAGATGTTTTTTAATGGTTTTCCGTTCTTTAACCAGTGTGTGGTAGGGCTGGCTGGATCATACACCAAACAGTTGAGTTTTACAAATGAATTGGTGTAGCCTGTATGATCTGATGGTTTCACTGAAAACACTGGTACACCTGGAATAAAAAGCAAATATATTGTCTAGGAATGACATTTGACAAGGATAACAACTTAGGTTCTCGAGGATTCTGTCTACCAGTTAATACCATAGCCCATAAGACTGCCAATGTTTGGTTTTACAGGTATAACAACTTTGGTTATACCTACCTCCTGGTTGTGTTCAAACCTCGACATAATGTTTTTGCGCGGTAAGCCACAAGCCACTCATTTTTTGAGGATTAAAAATCCAAAACAACATATTGGCGAAACATTGGTAGCAGCTAATGAACTTTTCACATGAGGAAGTATATCGATCATAAGTGAGTAAGTATTTCATAAGGAAAAGTGGTATCAGGTGTCTACAAGAGTAAGCATACCCTGTCTGGCGTCTCACCCATAACTGCTGTGCAACATTAACAAAAGATCAGCACAGCACCAGTATATCAGACTAGTTAAGAGCACCCTACCTTTCACCTCTAGAGTCATGTATTTAGAGGTTTCATTAACCCCACTGGTAGCTATACAGGTATAGTTCCCCTCATCCATCAGTCTCAGGTGTGAGATCTTCATCCTGCGATTACCATCAGAGAACTGAACTCTGTCTTTAAACTGGGTGTTATTCACGTCTATATCTTCATCATTATGTTTCCACGAGTATTCTATTGGTAGCCTGAAATTCATTGGAATATTTTTTAATCACACGGAAATGGAGAAGAGTTTTACTTTCTACATTTTTGCACCTGAGGCCTGATTGTGCTAATAAAAGATTGAAAAAGCCATGCAGTGTTCATTGAGGGTAAGATAAGGAGAAAATAGTGCTTTCTGGATTACAGTCAAATGTAGAGGTTACATTTGCCGAAGAGTTTATACGAATGATAATTAAAGGGAGATAAATTTAGTGAATGATAGAAAATACTTTGTGGTATGTAGCCTAACTTAAAGCTTGCACTGCTGAAAAGAACGACTATCAAATACATCATCCTTTCTACCACCTGCTACTAGGCCAAACCTCGTGGTCATGATATAACAAGTATAACAAATTGGGTTCTCACTAATCCTGGTCTATTGGAATACATTGGGTGACTTGATGAGAGGTAAAATCAGTACCTTCCGTGAGCTACACATTCAAAATCTACAGTTTGTTTCAGTTTTGGTTGTATTGGAAAAACTTTAGGAAAGCCCTGTACTATATCAAACGGTATTTCATCCACCTCTGAAAAAGAAAAAATGATATGCCATGCCAAATCTGTTCCACAACTGTCTGTCACAGCTACTGATAGATAACTGGTCTCAATTTTATGCATAACAATTACTTTAATAAATAACGAAGGAACTTTCGTCTTTATCAAGCAAATAATAAAATCGTGTTCAGTTATTTATTACCCAATTACTAAATGCCACTTAAGGAAGCTACTGATAGATATTCAAGACTTTAAAATGCTAGTAGAAACCTCTCCTACTGGACAGCAAGTTTTTCGTTAGAAGAAAATTCTCAAAAAAATGAAAACTTTAAACCATGCTCTACGAATTCATAAGAGCATGACGGACAAACGTAGAACTCGCGTTCATTTCATATCATTTTGACAATTAATACACCAACCTTCTCTGTTGACTTTCAGGGGCCTTTCTTTACTCATCTCGGCGCTGGAATTGGCGTCCCCTAAATAGATCCCATTTCCTTCTATTGTTCTAAACATGATATTACACGAGTAATTTCCAGCGTGCACCATGTTAACTTCGCTAATATATAAATATCCATCTAAAGAAACGAACGTGTCCATTGAGTTGGGATCCACAAATTCAAAGTTTTGTATCGTTTTTTTCATCCATGTATAGCTGATATCTGAAAGACGAAAAAAGGGTTCTAATCCTGTCCGGTGAGTTCGGCTTAATGTTAATGATTGACTCATTTAATTTTGGGAGGTGGGGTGGCCATTTGGGCATGGCCCAAAATTTAACGCCATAACACGCTATTGGATGTTATAGTCTGGAATTTTTCTGGAATTACCGGAACTACGGATGATTGAAATATAGCAAATAGGCCCGTTTTCTTAGGAATCTATTTAATATTTATGATCGGTAAGATCTAAGAGAACCTTTTGAGCTCGTTGTGTTTTATCAAAAATTTACCAAACTATAGAATTTGAAGTACTTACCTGGATATGAAAACTCTTTCAAGGGACAGTTAATAACCACCCAGGTATACTCGACAGCAATTATTGGCACCTGATTGGGTGAAATGACCGGGTTAAAATCTGAAATGACAGTTAGGTTAGATTAAAACAACAAAAGCTTAATTAAAGCAAAATTAAAATTTTGTAAAAGTCAAATTGAAGAACTGGTGGACGGAATTCGAAGTCTGTTAATTCATATCAGAACCAATCGCCTGATGCTGGTAACCCCGTGGAAGGGCGATAGGTTTACACACTCTTTAACAATCGACCCCTCTCTATTCACATTGTTTCGAGTAATGTCCTAAAACAAAGTCCGAGAGGACAATGCTATAATTGGGAAAAGGAATAGACGACACCCAACAGCCTTCAAATAAGTCCATAGCCTTTACTAAAAATGATATACCTGCATAAGTCAATCTGGCCACTCGACTCAGTAGTATCCCTTCTTCGTTCTTCACTTCACATTGGTATCTTCCGTTATAGTCGTTTTTCACACTGGGAGCCTTAAACACCAGGGACCCATTTCTTATCTCAATTTCGCTGGTTTCTGTCATTATTTTAACAGTCCCATCACTTTGTATTTTCGTCCATTTGTAGGTGATGTTCCCTTTCGGTGAACTGGCCTCGCAATGTAGTGGAACCTCATCTACCTGGCTAAGTACATAGGTATCAGTCGGTTCCTGGATAAAATCTAGTCGCTCTAAAAAAAAACAGGTAAGGCAAATACAGTTCAAGGGGAGTAACTACAATGAAGTATGACAATTTTAATCTATATTTCGGTCTGTAGTAAGAGTATTTATGTACGTATATTAATGAAATATAACAAGGATAACAATATCTCGATGACAGTGGCACCAGGCCCATAGCTTGCCCAGTGGCTCAGAGTTCGAGAAGGGGCGATCGAGTGAGGGTGTGTGTGTTTGTATTTGGTACATTGTCAGTACCTAAAGTTGACAGCACACCAACACTGTGGGGACATTTTGAATTGTCGGGACATGCACTCACGTCCCCACAATTCTAAGTTGACAATGTCCCAGAAAGTTATGAAAAAATAGATTTGTTTCAATTTTACACATGTCCCCACAAGTGTGTCAAAACACATATTTTATACACAATTAAGCACATTTTACTATCTACCTTTTCACACAATTATATGTGTGTGTCACATACGTCCAATCAGATGAACTCTAACATAAATAGAGTTGTTTGGCCAATCAAAAGCCATGCATCATAGGTCCTGACAGAAGTGGTAAAACTGAAGAGAACACACAATTTCAGCACCATTTGTAAAATGGCAATGGAAAATAGTTCAATTGCAATTATTACTCTGCTTTCAATTTGTGTTATACTCCTAATCTTAATTTTATTGGGAATAATTTTTACATCACGTGTTCTAAAAATTATTTACACGAGGTGGACAGGATTATTTTTACATTGGACACCAAATATTAGAGGTTAATGGTAAGAATTAGAAATATTTATTTTCAAGTTAACAAAGCTAAAATTGTCAGTGTCATGATGTTTCCTATGAAAAAAACTATTTATTTGATCATTTCATGGATTATTAGAGATGATTCTATGCCATTTACTACTATTAGTAACAGACTACAGGAAAGGTTTACACAAATTTATTAACCTAACATTATCAGGACAAAATGGATTCCATTCTACAGAAAAGGTTCACACAAATTTATTTACCCAACATTATCAGGACAAAATGGATTCCTTTGAAGCAGCATGCGTCACATTCTATTTGGCAATAACCTTAATTTTCAAAGTTCTTCATGCCTTTTGTGGATTGTTTTACTTTTCATTAATTTTAATGGTAAACAGTGTATTTGACTTCATTGTATGTTTCATATTTTTGATATATTTCATAGTTTTTGTTTGTAAGTAATTGCTAACAAGACAAGTGACTACTGCAGCAAAGGTATGGTTTCTTTTCTTATTCTACTGCCACTCACTTAGTTTTGTTTTGAGGACCAATTTGGGGTGTATTCTGGAATATTTTTTTAGTTCTTTGAATAATGAATGAGATATTTAAATTCAAGTCCAAGGTTAACTAGATTCATACGTAAATTTATAAACTGTAACTGTAAACTGTAATGTCTTTGAAGGGTAATCTTCAGTCGATGGTAAATTATTCTTATACCTTTTTTGTTAATCATGGGCTGGGAATAAGATTTAAAATACAGCCAAAAAAATCATTGTAGGAAGTCTTTTTTTGTTTGTTCTTATATCTTTCGACATGATTATCATACACCCACATAAAGTTTAGCTAGAATAACGATGGTGTTTGAGCCTACTTTCTATTTCATGCCTTATAAATCTGTTACAGATGGTTAAGAAGAAAATGATTAAGAAACGACCTATCAAAGAAAACAGAACAGATTCTTTTGTAGAAAACCAAGGTAAATATTGTAATTTATCAATTTCTGAATACTTTGTTATGTTATTATTTACGAAACAAATAGAGATTGAACCAGTTCTATTTGGCAAATTTCAGTGCTGCAATAGTTGTCTTGTAGTTGTCTTGGTCAATCTTTTGTCTTCATGAACTTCAGATGCAAAACGTATCCCACATATTAAATTGATTGATAATCAAATTTGATTCTGTGTCTTTTTGTAGGTACATCTACGACTAGTACTATAAGTACGGAAACTATGCAGAGTAACATGCCAGCCAAAGGTATAAACATTATCTCTACCTCACTTATATATAATACAGTATCTTAATCTTAAAATATTACTTCAATATTATTATTATCTTAGTTGTCAGAAAATCTTTATTTATAGGGCAGTTTGTGTGGTGTCTATTTAACAAAGTAATGTGGCCTGTGGAGGTTGTTGAAAGTAACCCTGATGTGGTTTCCGTGTACTGTCAAGCTGATGATGGAATGTAAGTCTTTGAAATACAATAATTATTGTTTCTGTCTACAAAATTAATTATTTGAAACATTATGTAATTGTTTGATATATTTTAGAAAATTGATGAGGTATTTCATTGCAATCACATAGCTATCAATCCTTTCTAACCGAATATTCCCAGGCCACAAAATCCAAATTTTGCCATTGGATACTATTGAAACAGGTGATATTTCCTGATGCTAGAATAAGATTAGTTACTTTAGTCTAAGAATTGAATATCAGTAATCATGATCTCTTTTCATTCAACAAATGTGCATTTATTCACAGATTTCATGTTCTACCTAGCAAAATTGTGCCATTTGAGCTCGAAGATAGTTATTTGGACATCAAAAGTAGAAGTATAGGTAGCCTTCAGATCTTATCGATTCTTTGAATTTTGAATCTTTGGATTTCATGTTATCTTTTTTATTCGACTTTATTATTTAACCTGTTAATTTCTATGTTGGGTTTACTAATTTATGTTGTAATTATCAGAATGAAAAGAAACCATTCTGTATGAAATTACTAACAAAACAATTATAGCTATGTCATCATCTGTTTTCATGTTATATTTTTACCCATTTCATACTGTACTGATCCTCAAAATGTGTATAACCAAATAAGTCAACAAAATTTGCAAATTTGTTATTTTCAAAATACAAAATACATTCATTTTCGCCAATGTTCAATTTATAAATCACAGTATTTTACATGGTATACAAATTCTTACAAAACAATTCTGCCTAGTTTCTGATTGTAATACCCCCCTACTTTGATATAACTTTTCAGAGCAATTGAGAAAGAAAAAGGCTACCTTGGAAGCTTTTAAGTATGATTTTGATCATGCATTAATGCATGTTGAAATGGAAAAGAACAAGAACCAACCTCAACAACTTACTATGGGCCAACCTCAACAACTTACTATGGACCAACCTCAACAACTTACTATGGACCAACCTCAACAACTTACTATGGACCAACCTCAACAACTTACTATGGATCAACCTCAACAACTTACTATGGATCAACCTCAACAACTTACTATGGACCAACCTCAACAACTTACTATGCATCAACCTCAACATGTTACTATGGACCAACCTCAGCATATTACTAGAGACCAACCTCATCAACTTACTATGGACCAACCTCATCAACTTACTATGGGACAACCTCAACAACTTACTATGGACCAACCTCAACAACTTACCATGGACCAACCTCAACATGTAACTATGGATCAACCTCAACAACTTTCTATGGACCAACCTCAACAACTTACTATGCATCAACCTCAACCTGTTACTATGGGCCAACCTCACCATATTACTAGAGACCAACCTCAACAACTTACTATGGACCAACCTCATCAACTTACTATGGGACGACCTCAACAACTTACTATGGACCAACCTCAACAACTTACCATGGACCAACCTCAACATGTAACTATGGATCAACCTCAACAACTTTCTATGGACCAACCTCAACAACTTTCTATGAACAAACCCCAACAACTTACTATGGATCAACCTCAACCTGTTACTATAGACCAACCTCAACAACTCACTATGGATCAACCTCAACAACCTACTATGGACCAACCTCAACAACTTTCTATGGAGCAACCTCAACATGTTACTATGGACCAACCTCAACAACTTACTATGGACCAACCTCAACATGTAACTATGGATCAACCTCAGTATGTTACAATGAACCATACTCAGCATGTTACTATGGACCAACCTCAACACGTAACTATGGACCAACCTCAGCATGTTACTATAGACCAACCTCATCAACTTACTATGGACCAACCTCATCAACTTACTATGGACCAACCTCAACAACTTACTATGGACCAACCTCAACATGTTACTATAGACCAACCTCAACAACTTACTATGAACAAACCTCAACAACTTCCTTTGGACCAACCTCAACAACTTACTATGGACAAACCTCAACAACTTACTATGGACCAACCTCAACAACTTACTATGGACCAACCTCAACAACTTACTATGGACAAACCTCAACAACTTACTATGAACCAACCTCAACAACTTACTATGGACCAACCTCAACAACTTACTATGAACCAACCTCAACAACTTACTATGACCCAACCTCAACAACTTACTATACACCAACCGCAACATGTTACTATGGACCAACATCAACATGTTACTATGAACCAACCTCAACAACTTACTATGAACAAACCTCAACAACTTACTATGAACAAACCTCAACTTACTAAAGTAGTCAAAGGACTTTCACAAGAGCCCAAATTGAGGAGAAAGGCTGAAATACGATACCACGATGCCGAGGAATCCCTTTTCCCTGATCTCGATGATGTAGTAGTGTCCTCATCTGATTCTTGGAATCCTGATTCGGAATCCTCCTCTACTGAAGACAATGAGGCTATACCTAAAGTGGTCCGGGTTGATAATTCACATTCTTCCGGGGAATCTGATATCATTCCTATTGTTCCTGATATATCATTATTAGCTTTACCAGATAGTACCTCAGTAACATCTAGTTCAAAAGATCCATCTGTTGAGGATTTGAATGTAGCTCAAACATACGTAAGTGAAGGGAAGCGCAACAGTAAACAAAATTATTGTTTGTTTTGCAGTAAATCATTTTCAAAAATGGCCAGGCATTTCGAAGCTATGCACAGCAAAGAAATAGATGTTCAGAGAGCCTTGTCTTTCCCGAAGAATGCAAAAGAACGAAGAGTCCAATTTAAGAATATCATAAACCGTGGAAATTATTTGCACAATAAAACCACTCTTGAAGATGGTCATGGTCAAATTATAACAGTTAGAAGACCAACTGTTGATAGAGATCACTCAAATTATATCCCATGCCAGTATTGTTTGGGTTTTTTCAAAAAACAGGACTTTTGGAGACATGCCAAGATTTGTAATCCTAAATCCCCTCCCTCCCATAGAGTCTATCATCAAAGGGCAAGTGCTGCTTTACTACCTGTTTCTAAAAATGCTACTCTTCACTTTAGAGAGAAGATTTTAGATAAACTCTCTATTGATGAGATTAGTCTTGCAGCTAGAAACGATGCTACAATTGTTGCTTATGGTATCAAACTATTTAAAAAATGTGCTCAAAATAAACAACAATTCCAATATGTAAGACAAAAGATGAGGGAACTAGCCAGATTACTTCTAGTTGTTAGGAAAAAGAACAAAGATATATATGCCTTGAAAGACTTTATCAAGCCAACGTTTTTTCATGATATCTTGGAAGCTACCAAAGAAGTTGCCCAATTTTGTGAGGAAAGCGCGTCTTTCAAAACGCCATCTCTTGTACCTAAACTTGGTGGATCACTTAAAAAATGTGCCGAGAATTTGAAAGCGGAAGCAATCATTACAGGAGACAAATCATTAAAAAAAGATGCCTTAGATTTTCTGGACTTGTGTAATACTGAATGGAATATTGAAGTGTCTGTGTTGGCAAGGGAAACGCTTGACAAGGTTAAATTCAATAAACCAAAAAGATTACCACTTACAGAAGACCTGCAAATACTGAATAATTATCTGAGAGAAAAGGCAGAATTGGAAAAAAGACAATTAGAAACTCACGCAAATTCCACAATATGGAGAAACTTTGCTGAGACCTTACTTGCTCAGTTAGTCCTTTTCAATAGACGAAGAGGAGGGGAAACACAGCTGCTTCTTTTACAACAATTTCTTGATGGTATCAGCAACAAACAAAACTCGATGGCATCTGAAGTGAAAAATTCTCTCTCAAAACTAGAACTTAAATTATGCAATTTCATGTACAGAGTCGAATTAAGAGGCAAAAGAGGAAGAAGGGTGGCTGTACTTTTAACCAAAGAAAACAAACAAAACATTGAATTATTGATCAAAAACCGAAAGGAAGGCGGAATAAGCGCTGAGAATGCATATCTATTTGCAAGGCCAGGTTCATCAGAAACACCAATAAGAAGCTGTGATGTCCTCCGGAAATTCGCAGCAGTTTCTGGTACTAAAAACCCGAATTTGATAACATCAACAGCCTTAAGAAAACATATTGCCACTATCTCGCAAGTTATGAACTTGAAAGATAACGAACTGGATTGTTTAGCTAATTTCATGGGCCATGATATTCGCATCCATAGACAGTTTTATAGATTGTCAGAGGAAACCATACAGCTTGCTAAGATCAGTAAACTATTGATGGAGATAGAAAATGGTACAATGCATGAGGCTGCTGGTAAAACTCTTGATGAAATCTCTGTTACTAATGAAGGTACTGTACATTTACTGTTAACACGTTATCTAAATGAAAATGTTTGCAAACCCTGCTCAAGACCTACATTCGACTGCTTTACCCTGCTTGAAAATATTGTCCCTATCGTGTTTATGTCTTCACTTCGATCAATTTATGAATTGTGTTATCTATTGTAGAGACATTAGAAATAGATGAAGAAGATGACGTAGATGATATGGAAGAAACTCTACAATCAAGAACATTACAAGGTATCCATCCTTGTTCATTTCTGATATTTTATTTTGTATTCCACTCATCAACTTTACAAACTGCAATGGAACTAACTATTGTTCTTAATAGACTACTTTTGAAACTTGAATTTGCATGTGATGTGCCTATTTTCATTTCAGTTGGCTCATTTTTATTTGTTATATTTAGTTTTAAATATGTTTAATTTGATTCCAGTAAATAATGTTGATGAGGCTTTTGATGCTGATGTGAATGATAACTGTGGTGTACAAACTGATGACGTGGAAGAATTTGGGCCAAGCACGACCAAGAAATTAAAGAAAGGTATCTTGTAGCATTTAAGTCACAATAATTATAACTAGTGAAAGATATATTTAGCAGTAGAGTAACAATCACCAGTATGAAATATTCAACCTTGAGTCATACACTTCTTTTGAACTCTTTAGGGCGATACTGAATAATATTGAGTATGAGTTATTGCCCTTGTTCTTGAAAACGCGTTCATTTTTAGCTCGTAAACACTCTAGAAGACACAATTCTTGACGGATTTTGACAAAACTTGGCATAAGTCACCCAAGGATAAACCCTATTAGAAATCAGAAAAATCGAAAAATATTTAGTATGAGTTATTGCCCTTGTTCTTGGAAACGCGTTCAATTTTTAGCTCGTAAACACTCTAGAAGGAACAATTATGAACACTCACACTAAGTTTCATCAAAATCCTTCAAGAATTGTGCCTTCTAGAGTGTTTACGAGCATAAAATTGAATGCATTTTCAAGAACAAGGGCGATAATCCATATGAAATATTTTTCGATTTTTCTGATTTTTAATAGGGTTTATCCTTGGCTCTACATTTGCAGTTGTAAAGGGTCTAATATAGCTAACTATTACAGGTAACAAGAAGAAAGTTACTCTTTTCAAGAATTCCAAAGTGAATAAAAGTAAGTACTTTAAATCATTTTTAGTACTTTGTCCAGAAAAGAAGTATATTTTCCTAATTCAAACATTTCTGATGACATAAACAATAGATTGATTTACTATTATTTTTCAGACACCCATGTTGCTTTTGACTGCCAATCCATCTTCATAAACTATCTGTTGAATACTGCCAATGTGCAAAACACATATTTGCAGTATTATGCACGGCTGAACACTTACTGAACATGCATATACTTTTTTTATTCTATATCTTTGTTCTAAATTATGGTATATGACGACGTTTGCATAATTAAATTAAGCTATTTTAGCAATATGTTGTTTAGATTATATTTAAGGCCATCATATATTAAATGTTTTCATTATTTTAGGCAATAGAAAAGCATGGTCTGAGGAAGAGAAGAAAGCAGTCACACAGCATTTAGGAAAATTCTTCCTACAGTCTAAATTACCTGGAAAGATTGATTGTGAAGAATGCATAAGAAAGAATCGTGTTCTTTCCGGTAGAACTTGGACACACGTCAAATTTTTCATCAAAAATAACAAAAAGTTTTAAAGAAACCAAAACAAAAACAAAAAGTTTTTGCAAATAAATGTTTTTATTAAACACATCACATATCGACTGCAATATCAGACAGTTTGCCTTAGTGTGGTCATCTGAGATGCAAACGGAGCCGGGTTGGCTCAGTGGGTTGGACGCTTGCTCATCTGAGACACAATCACTATGGAAGTCTCTATCATTATCCAATTGTCATGCACTAGACCACCATTTAAGCTTGAATCACCCCTTTGTATAATCAATACCAGACAGATTGCCTCAGTGTGGTCATCTGAGACACAATCACTATGGAAGTCCCAATCATTATCCAATTGCCATGCACTAGACCACCCTTTAAGCTTCAACCACCCCCTTGTATGATCAATACCAGACAGTTTGGTCATCTGAGACACAATAACTATAGAGGTCCCCATCATTATTCAATTGCCCATGCACTACACCACCCTTAAAGCTTGAATCACCCCTTTGTATGATCAATACCAGATAGTTTGGTCATCTGAAACACAATCAATATGGAGGTCTCTATCATTATCTACCCTTTAAAGTATGTATCAAGCCTTTGTATAATCAATACTAGACAGTTTGCCTTAGTTTGGTCATCTGAGACACAATCACTATAGAGTTTCCAATCATTATCCAATTGCCCATGCACTAGACCACCCTTTAAAGTATGAATCAACCCTTGGTATAATCAATACTAGACAGTTTGCCTTAATGTGGCCATCTAAGACGCAATCACTATAGAGGTCCCAATCATTATCCAATTGCCCATGAACTAGACAACCCTTTAAGCGTGAATTTATCCTTTGTATGATCAATATCAGACAGTTTGGTCATAAGAGACACAATCACTATGGATATCCCCATCATTATCCAATTGCCCATGAACTAGACCAACATTTAAGCGTGAATTTACCCTTTGTATGATCAATACCAGACAGTTTGGTCATGTGAGACACAATCACTATAGAGTTCCCAATCATTATCCAATTGCCCATGCACTAGACCACCCTGTAAGTATGAATCAACCCTTCGTATAATCAATACTAGACAATTTGCCTTAATGTGGTCATCTAAGACACAATCACTATAGAGGTCCCAATCATTATCCAATTGCCCATGAACTAGACCACCCTTTAAGCGTGAATTTATCCTTTGTATGATCAATACCAGACAGTTTGGTCATCTGAGACACACTCACTATGGAATTCTCTATCATTATCCAATTGCCCATGTACTAGACCACCCTTTAAAATATGAATCAACCCTTTGTATGATCAATACTAGACAGTTTGCCTTAATGTGGTCATCTAAGACACAATCACTATAGAGGTCCCAATCATTATCCAATTGTCATGCAATAGACCACCCTTTACGCTTGATCACTTTTTTGTATGATCAATACCAGACAGTTTGCCTCAATGTGGTCATCTGAGACACAATCACTATAGAGTTCCCAATCATTATCCAATTGTCATGCACTAGACCACCATTTAAACTTGAATCACCCCTTTGTATAATCATAACTAGACAGTTTGCCTTAATATGGTCATCTAAGACACAATCACTATAGAGTTCCCATTCATTATCCAATTGCCCATGAACTAGTCCACCCTTTAAAGTAAGAATCAAACCTTCGTATGATCAATACCAGACAGTTTGCCTTAATGTGGTCATCTAAGACACAATCACTATAGAGTTCCCAAACATTATCCAATTGTCATGCAATAGACCACCCTTTAAGCTTGATAACTCTTTTGTATGATCAATACCAGACAGTTTGCCTTAATGTGGTTATCTGAGACACAATCACTATAGAGTTCCCAATCATTATCCAATTGCCCATGTACTAGACCACCCTTTAAAGTATGAATCAACCCTTCGTATAACCAATACTAGACAATTTGCCTTAATGTGGCCATATAAGACGCAATCACTATAGAGGTCCTAATCATTATCCAATTGCCATGAACTAGACCACCCTTTAAGCGTGAATTTATCCTTTGTATGATCAATACCAGACAGTTTGGTCATCTGAGACACAATCACTATGAATATCCCCATCATTATCCAATTGCCCATGAACTAGACCACCCTTTAAGCGTGAATTTACCCTTTGTATGATCAATACCAGACAGTTTGGTCATCTGAGACACAATCACTATAGAGTTCCCAATCATTATCCAATTGCCTATGCACTAGACCACCCTTTAAAGTATGAATCACCCCTTTGTATAATCAATACTAGACAGTTTGCCTTAATGTGGTCATCTAAGACACAATCACTATAGAGTTCCCAATCATTATCCAATTGTCATGCAATAGACCACCCTTTAAGCTTGATCACTTTTTTGTATGATCAATACCAGACAGTATGCCTTAATGTGGTCATCTGAGACACAATCACTATAGAAGTTCCCAATCATTATCCAATTGCCCATGCACTAGTCCACCCTTTAAAGTATGAATCAACCCTTCGTATGATCAATACTAGACAATTTGCCTTAATGTGGTCATCTGAGACACAATCACTATAGAGTTCCCAATCATTATCCAATTACCCATGCACTAGACCACCCTTTAAAGTATGAAACAAGCCTTCGTATGATCAATACTAGACAGTTTGCCTTAATTTGGTCATCTAAGACACCATCACTATAGAGGTCCCAATCATTATCCAATTGTCATGCACTAGATCACCCTTTAAACTTGAATCACCACTTTGTATGATCAATACCAGAGAGTTTGCCTTAATGTGATCATCAGAGACACAATCACTATAGAGTTCCCAATCATTATCCAATTGCCTATCCACTAGAACACCCTTTAAAGTATGAATCAACCCTTTGTATAATCAATACTATACAGTTTGCCTTAATGTGGTCATCTGAGACACACTCACTATGGAATCTCTATCAT